GGTGCGTCTAAGATTGGTGGCTACCGAACGGGCAATGTCGTCCTCATACTTCAACTTCCAAGCCAGCGCCTGATCGTAGTTCTGGATGAACGATTGGTCCTGGAAAATGCGGAAACATGTCGAGTTATCTTCGGTGACGTGCGTGTTTTTGATGAGCTCTTGCACTTCCTTCAAGTAAATGGCCCGCTCCATCATCATTGGTTCACCCTGAATAATATCTAGCATGACACCTTTGGCATTACGAGCCTGCCAGTAGGTGACAGTGGACCTGCCCATAAGGAAGACGTTCATCATTCCCATAAGTATGATAATCAAGACCAAAACCTTGTTCATCGACAAGCTGCTCAAGAACAATTGTGTAGAACGAACGACAAAGTAGATGAATGTGGAGATCAGCCTGATGATGGAACCAAGTGTACCTCTCAAAGTCAAACGGAACAATGTGTCAAGGTCCAATTGAGTTGGAGGCAGCTGAGGAATCTCGTAAGGCACATCCGTGACAGGGACTTTTCCGTACATGTAGATCGCCTTTGCAACCTGTCCGTGACTTCCAATAACCTTTGCAGTTTTGTCAAGACGACGGCATACACCTCTGGCGAAAGAGGTTTGGAAAGTTTTTGATAAGCTCCGAAGAAGAGGATTGAAGATGGTCTTCTTGTCGAAATCTGCACTGGCGTAGTTCAAAATCTTGGAATTGCCGCCTTCGCTGGAGAAAATGACAATTCTCGTGCTGATTTCGAATTGCACCATGCCAAATTTAAGTGTTGATCTCAGAGTCTTCAAACAGTAGTACTCATTCTCGCTCATATCCTCAAGTTCTTGTCTAACGGTGACAGTATCGGCTTTACCGTTGTGATAAACAATAGCCGAAAGGAAGTCTCTGTATAAACCACGTTCGTTACCTGGAATCCTCATCCATGCACCCTGACTGATATACTTGACGGAAACGATGGGATATGAGGCATCCATGATATGAGACTTGTGTCCAATAAGAGCATGAAGAACAGCTTTTGGCAGGAGCTTGACAGTGTGAGAACTGAGGAAGTTCATATCTTCACTGAAATCGATTCTAAAGCTGGATTTGTCTTCATGTTTTCTGGGGTCAATTTCAAAAGAACTGGCTTCATTTGGAGACGCCCTGTGCTCGGCCAAACGTTCAATACGCTCCTTTTCAGAAGCGTACTCCCTCTCGATATCTTTGAGTTTGTTGATCAAACCGTCGACTGACAAAGGACTGTCACTGGCGATATTTTGGATGATACCGTTGATTTTCTGTGCAATCAAAAGACCGTCACCCAAAAACAATTTCGTCTTGATGGAACCGCTGACTTTGAAGATCTTCATGTAGTCGTAACTCTTTTTGACAACGCAGGTTGCCTCGACAATCTGGTCTATAGGTGTTTTGCTCAAGGCCACAAATCCCAGAGCATGTAAGTAAAAATACAAGTTCTTTTGTGTGAAGAACGCCGTGCCTCGAAGCTCTTGGTTGGAATTAGGCAGCCAGAGACAGTAGAAAGAAAGTAAACAGCATTCGTTGTTGTCAACCTCGGATTCGAAAAGCGCTCTCATCTGGATTTCACTACCAAGAAGCGTATCAGGGTAGTTTGCCGGCACCATGATACCCTGGCCAATCTGCTTGGAAAATGGCTCCACAGGCATTGGTGCAACGTCATCATAAGCAATAGGGTGGAAATCTTCGTGAAGGTAGTAGCATCCCCAATTGAGAGATCCCCAGATATTAGCGCTGAGGGCTGTAGGAACAGCGGTTGAACCTGCCAAACTGTAGGCGATAAGGGCTGAACGGCTGGATTCGGTGAAGAATGGAAGTCGTATTCTGGCAACCTGTTTGTAGACGAAGTTCTGGAACAACTTCTGGTTCTTCAATAAGTGTGCGGAGAGCTTCGACGAGGTGATGATCTGGCCCTCCTTGTTGATGATTTTCGAGTTCGTCATTTGTCTATCAGTGGTTGTGTTGTTGGAGTTGGCGAACTCGGACATAAGCGGTGGGTATCTATTACTGGCGATCCCGAATAAACTGGTCATGGGGTCGCCGCTGGTGGTGATTCTGGTTCTGACGTTTTCAAAGACCTTGAGCCACGATGCTAGCTCCTGCACTGTTTCTGTCTGGAACACAAGGGTTGTATCGATGGTCTTGAGCTCGAAACAGAAGCGTCTTTCCTCATTGGCGGTGAATTTTGTGTTGCAGAGCAAAGCACCGATTTTGTCGGTTTCCTGAACAGCCGTTCCGGCCGGATTGAGCACCAAAAGACCGAAAACACCACCTTGAAGAAAGGCCCACCGCTGGACCCAGATGGGTTTGGTCGATTTCTCAACATACGTCTTCATGAACAAATGGCCGTGCTTTTCCACCGCAGTCTCGGGGTAAGCGGACAAAACCTTGGCATTGACGTGTGTGGTTCGGTAGTCGTTCAAGTCTCCAGAAGGCACGAAACTGGCACTGGTGGATTCCTGGATCTGCTTTTTTGCAGCCATCATATCACGGTGAAGGCGTTTCACGGAGCCTCTGTAGTTGTCACACCAGGAAGAAACACGTTTGAGCTGTGCCCACACGTCGTTCAAGAGCTGCTGCACAATCGGATGGGAGCCAAAACGCTCCACTTTCTGGTGCCACATGAGGTAGATGAAACGGACGATTTTGTGGTTGACGTACTCGACAAGCTCGTTGAGTTCAATGATAAGATCAAGACTGGCCTCCATGTACTCTTTTCTCACGGCAAAAAGCTGCAAGGCATCTTCCATGACCAAGGCCGGGTCCTTCAGTTTCGGTGTAGCCATGTGGATCCGTAGAAACTTGTCGTAGTTGGCCTGGGCCTCGTCAAAGCGGATTTTGTGGGTTTGGTACAAGGCGATCTGCTCCATGATGGAGTCTTTTGTGGATTCTAGCCGGGGAACCAGGTAATTGAGCAATCCCAAACTGATATCCCAGACCATCTTGAGTCCGTCAAAGATCGTATTCATGGCCTGCTGCGTGTACTCCTGGTCGACCAAGCCTTCCAGAAGACTCTGCGGCATCAAATACTCCAAGAAGGAGTTGACGTAGCTCTGCAATTCCTTGACTTGTTTAGGGATTTTCGTCAAACTAGACCGCAACGCCAAAATCCACTTTTCCGTGGTCATGAGCTGGGTATGGAGATGCGTCACGGAGGCTCGGAACGAAGGCAGGTCCAAGGCGGCCTCCTTGAGCGCCACGGATATAAGTTTGATGTGGTGAAGGTCCGATGGAGGTCTGAGTTCTTCTTCTTCTTCAGCCTGAGCTGCTTCTTTGATGGTGGCGGACGCCTGCGTGTTCACCTGGACCAGCGAAACCGGCGGTGCCGATTCGTGGGGCATTGTGGACGGAATAGGCTAATTTTTTTTGGGGAATTGGTGGGTTTTGATGTTTCAACTGCAGCAAGTGTTTCTTGATGGAGGACTGTGGTGGTGCACGGGTGTTTTGGGCTGAAACGGCAGCAACAAGTGAATTTCCGGTCGGGGCGGGGAGAGTTGGTAGTTTGGCGGATTTCTGGTGAAATTGGCGGAGGTGTTGGTGGTTTCTTTGTTGTTAGCAGGTTACTGTAGATGTAGGTTGATCGCACTCGGTTAAGCAAGCAAGCGAAAAGCCGAGGAAGGCGGGAAATCTGGGGAAATCGGAAGTGAAGAAATTGGACATTTTTTCGGTTTTTGTTGTTTGTGGAGAGTTTGGTTTTGTGGTTTTGGGGGTTTTCGGAAAATCGAAAAGGTCCGGTGGTTCAGGGAAATGCAGCGTTGGTGGTACTTAGAAGCAACCCATTCTTGCATTATCACTTTTCTTGGTTTCCCCTGAGATGGGGGCAAAGGGGAGGATATTTTTGTATAAACGGGTTTTGATGGGATTTGGAAAAATCCACTCACATTGTGGTGCTCCATGAAATTTACGGGTATAGGCGGCTTTAGATCAAGCTGGTGTAGTTAGCAGCCTTGCATTATCACAATCAAGGCTTCGTTTCCCCAGCTAGCTCAATTCCTTCTTTTTTTTTTTTTTTTTTTTCCATTTCATTCCCTTCTGCTTCCAATTTACGGTTAAAGTTCTCTTCGGCTGGTTCAATGTGGTCCTGGTTTACCGCCAATGCATGGCTGCAAAACAGACCTATAACCGGCTTGCATGATTTAACTCTGTACAAAAATAGACCGTGGTCTAGGGGTCCCCACTGGTTCATAAGGGTTCACAATTAGAGTTTGGAAGAGTAGTTGGGCTTAAGGTGGAAGTTTGGCTTTGACTGTTTTGTTAGGTGTGAAATTGTAGTGGTTTAGGCATACCGGGTGTTTTTAGATTTCCATTTGAGTTTTCTGGCCAGTGTGTTTTCTGGTTCTAAATGCCCTATTGCTGGATTATTAAAAATGCCTTTGTTCTGTTAAGTAGCATTTACACCCTAGTTTAGCCGGAACTATATTAGACTCTACTAAAGAAAGCTTATACTGTCATGTTCACCACGGACTAAGTTTCGTTGTGTCTGGTGGAATTAATATTCATTTTAGTAAAACAGTATTCTGGTTCGATTCCCTTCTCAAGTATTATTTATAGTTGTTTGTATATTTCTGACAGAAATCTTCCCTCAATTATAAGCCAACACTATACCGCTATAGAAACACATCCAACTAATAAAGGACCCAAAGATCTTCCCTTCCCAGGTTTCATTTCGTAATTACTCTTAAGGGTATTGCGTTCAATTGAGAGTGTATTCCCTACCTTTTATCCATGGATACCTGGCTCCAATTGGCCTATAGCTATCATTCTGAAACAGTCTCACACGTTCCACCATCCATGCCATCTATATCATTCCCAGGACCCTCTAACTCATTCCCCAAATATCAAATCCCCTCTCACTATCCACCCATTAAGCCTCGTCACACGACAATTACACCTTCCTGGTTCCTGGTAGTAAAGCATCACAAGATCACTAACCACCAATCCCCACCTGCTCTACATTACCCTCTCCTCGAACTCATTATCTATACATCACCTAAATATCAGCTTCACCCTCGAGAACCTTGATAGGGTCGATGTTGTGCTTCTGCAACAAAGCCTTGACGTCCAGGAAGCCCTTGTACAACTCGTCCACGGTGTGGTTGCTGATGACGTCCTTGATGGTCTCGTCTCTCTTGAGCGGAATTGGACCAATCAAACCGAGGAACCTGCTGAATCCATACAGAATGATCTTGCTGAGCCATGTAGAGTCGTTGATGTCAATGGTATCCTCGCCAATGTCAGCGCCAAAAATGCCCTGGACGTAGGTGGCGATCACCTGGCTGTAAATCACATCGGCGCCTGGGTACTCGAGATTACTGGTTCTCATGGTCTTCAGACACCCAGAAATGGGCGCTTCACCGTTGAAACGCTTTTCGATCCAGCTGAGACCGGCGCCCACGCCAAGGAAGGTTTCAATGGCATGGCCGGTGTTTTCAGAAATGGTCCACTCGATCGAAGGAGCACCCCATTCGCAGAAATTGTCGTATGCTCTTTGCGGCTGGATGATAGGCACTATCTCATCAACCTCACCGTGGAAGACAAAGAGAGGAATTTCTGGAACACCGTCCAGCTTGACGTAGGCGAGGGTGTTGTTTCTGACGATCTCGGCGATTACCGGAACGTCAAAGAAGCCCACTCTGTTCTTGAAGTAGGGGAAGAGTCCCAGGAAGAACTTCTGGAAAATGTACGCCACGAGCGAGTTGATAAGGCAGTTCTCCTTGGCGGCGTAGAAACGGCGTTTCTTCAATGTGGCAATTTCACTGTCGATGAGCTTGGCGAACTCGGAGTACTCAGAGATGATACCGTTGATGGCGTTGGGAATAAGCCCAGATGCAAAAGTGCCATCTGCAGCCAAAGCCGTCAGCGTGATGTTGGTGACCCAGCCGCCAATGGCAGCGCCAATAAGGTTCTCCTTGAGTTCTGGAGCATACGCTGGCTGGAGCTGGGTAGCCCATCCTGAAGCCAAAGAACCGCCAGAGTATCCAAAAATCGCCACCTGGGCGTCTTTCTCAATCCCCGTCACGTCCTCGGACCGAAGCACCGCACGGATGTTGTCCAAAACGGCTTTTCCAGACTGGTGGCCCGCCGTGAACGCAGACTTGGGGCCCTGGTAGTCGGGAACAGCCACAAACCAGCCCTTCAGAAGGCCGTACTGGATGAACGGGATCTCCGTCTGCGTGGTGATGGTGTCGCCGTTGGCGTTGTACAAAAGAGCGTACGAGGGTGCACAGTCGATGGAGTTGGAGTCCTGCCATGCCTGGTACGAGAGCACCTTGGAGGGGTCTGAGTTGAAGGGTTCCAAGACGGTAGTGACAAAGGCGTTGGCGTTTCCGTGAGAATCCTCGGAACGCACGAGAAACTGCCACGAGTTCTTCACGCTCATGGGGAAAATGAGCGATCTGACCTTGGCCGGCGTGGGTCTGACGGCGATAATGTCTCCGTACTTGTAGTCGGAGACGTTCTGGGGCACATCGTAGAAACTGTCCTTGGAGGGGGGCGTGGGGCGGTTGAACAAGGCCAGGACCGCGGTCACCCACAAGAAAAGGGAAAGGAAAAGCATGGATCTGGGTTTTTGAAAACTGGGGATTCCTCGCTGCTTTATACGCCAAGGGTGGGCCCGTTTTGCAGCCATGGGCTCCCTAATATGCGGTACTGCACATTGTGCGCCCTCCGCTGCGGGTGGGTGCATGGACAGATACCAAGCGAGCCTGGTGCATCAGGACAATCCAAAAGAGGGGGCACAGTCTGTACCGTTGTCCCACTTACGAGCCGATTCTGGCAAGAACCGTAGTATTAAAAGTAAACAGGCTGCTTGAAGTTTTTTGTCGCAGGCACGCCAGCCCCACCGCTGCGGCGCCGGGTATACGCAAGTGAGACTTCCATGTAGCTGGAATTCGCTTAGACTTGACCCGCAGGCTGGTTGTTTTGATATCTCCAGACCCACCGCAGTGGTTTTGTAGTGAAAAGGTGCAAAGTTGTGGGAAGAGAGTCAACGATGAAAAACAGCTTTATAGTCGTTCTTGGTGGGTACAGGTGACTATCGTCCATTGGGCTACATCACATTGTATGGAACGCCCATTTGCAACGTTCATGATATCCCCACCCCCACAATATCCGTCTAAACGGGTAACGGCGCCGCCGCAGAAGCGTGTTGTTTTTTGTGGAATCGCTGTTTTTTGGAACCGCATGCTTCAAAATATCACAGCGCCGAGAAAACAAAAACCAGCCTTTCGTCTCGAGATATAATCAATAAAGCGTCACAGGGACTGTCGGATGGCCTGATGGGATGGCTGAAAGTCAGCTGAAATTGCACATCCTACTGCCCAATGGTGAAAACACCCCGATCCTCGGAAGCAGCCGCAAAGCGGAATCTGTAAAGCGTGTGATGCACTGTTTATGGTTTCATAACAGTTCGTGCACTGATAGTAACATTACACTTTGAGCAGACCCCACCGAAAGTCCAAAAATCAGACTACAGAGACTTGGCTAGACGGACTTGTGTGTCACGAGGTGCGGGGAAGTTTTAAGCTGGCTATTAACCCATTGTTTTCTCTCACCATCTCTTGAAAACAAGGCATAGGGACCACCTCTGGCTGCAAACGCGGTAAAGCTTCATTCCGGCATATAGCGCCAGCATGTTTTTCGTGATTCCCGGCTACATGCACTCCCTGCGTCGACGTGCTTAACCTATATCGTGGGGGTGCTTTGGTGAAACATCCACTTAGACTCGCCTGCTTCCAGAAGTTGCATTTACGCTGGTCCCAGCAGACTCTCTGTATAGAGTGCTGTGCGTTTCTTCCATGCTCACCCCCCAAACAGCACTGTGGTTTCCCCATAGAGAACAGCCCACGGGTCGATCCCCTCGGATTCCCACAATTCGATGATATCTCTAAATCCGTGAAACACCTGGCTTTGCAGTTTTTCGCTAATTTTAGAGCCCACGCCCTCCTGCCGCTTGAACGGGCCAAACGCCCTGAAAACGCCATTCAAGGCATACGCAAAGATTTTGCTCAAAACCGTTGACTCATTGAAATTCTTAGTATCTTCCCCCACCTTCTGCCCAAAAAGAGCCCGAACAAATGTGTCCAAATACTGGCGGTACATAACGTCTGCTCCAGGATAAAGCGTGTTTGTGGTTCTGTATGTCTTGGTGCATCCGTCAATTGGCTTTTCTCCATCCATGCGTTTTTCAAGCCAGGAAAGTCCGGTGCCGATTCCAAGAATACCTTCAGAAACATGAGCACTGTAGTTGGACACGGCGAATTCGATCGAAGGTGCACCCCACGAACACCACTTTTCGTAGACCTCCTCGGCCTGGTTGACTCGGATGACCTCATCGTGCAAGGCCTGGAATATGAAGATGGGGGTTTCTGGAACGCCTGCTGATTTGGAAAGACCCAAGGTGTTGTTGTGCAAAACGGCTGCCATGTCTGGGTCAGTAAGTAGGCTTCTTTGTATCAATGGGCTGGATCCGTTGAAAAGCGCCTCGTAGATGAACTTATCGGATATTTCTCCAAGACACATATTTCTAGCTGCATTGAACTCCACAAGCCGTTCAGGGTCCACGGCTTCCTCGATTATGGGAACCAACGCCTCGTATTCCTGCGAAATCCCGTGGATCATGGAAACCACCAACCCTGCAAACGCCGTCTCGTCATTTTCCACAAGCGTCTGTGTGTGGTTGGTCATGAACCCACCAAAAGCACTTCCCACTATATTTTTCTTTAACTCTGGAGCGTAGTCAGGCTGGATCTGGGCCGCCCATCCGGATGCAATGGATCCTCCAGAGTACCCATAAAGCCCCACCCTAGCATCTGGGTCAATTCCGGTCAAATTTCCAGAATTCAAGGCCGCCCGGATCCCGTTCAAAACAGCCTGTCCCGACTGCAAACCCGCCGTAAACGCCGACTTGGGCCCCTGGTGGTCCGGCAAAACCACATACCAGTTCTTCAGCAAGGCCACATCCATAATGGTCATTTCCCACTGTGTTGGAAAAGTATCCATGGAGGCGCCAAACAAGATTCCGTAGGACGGGCTGCAATTGACGCTGGGCAGGTCCTCGAAAGACTGGTACGAGAGGATTTTCGTGGGGTCGGCGTTGTATGGTTCCACGATGGTGGAAACGACGGAGGTTGGATTTCCAAAGGAGTCTTCGGAGCGGACTTGCAATTGCCAGGCGTCTTTGATGTTCAAAGGGAGTATTTCGCTTCGGAGCTGGACCGGCGGAGGACGCCAGCTGATGATCTGGCCGACCTCGTAATCCGATACGTTTTCGGGTGTTTCGTAGAATGGGTCTTCGGAAGGCGCCAAAGGTGCTGTGAAAGCGCAAGCCGGGGTGGCCCACAAGAGAAGAAAAAGAAAAAGCATCTACGGTTTTGAAAATCGGCGGTGTTGTTCTTTTTTTTTTCACTCAGTCGACGGTACAATGGTGATCGGCGTGGACGTTGAGGATGCGCTTTTGGAGGCTTGTTGATTGTTCAGGTGGAGAATTATCTTTGTCTGGGGACTGGGGAATTTAAATTTTTCTGGGACGGAACTTCGCTGGAACGGTGTTTTTTCCAGTTTGGGAAAATTCGACCGTAAGCGGATAAAGTGCTGTCTTTGGTTGGTCAAGACATCACCATCCTGATACAACATAAAGCCTACCTTCTCCAAAAACTCAGAACAAAAACTAGAAATGTGAATCTTTGCCTAAAACTCAAAATCGGGGTTTTTCCAGTTTGGGAAAGTTCGGGTGGCCATAAGCCTATAGAATACTGTCTACGTTGGTAGGTATCAAGACATCACCACTCCTAATACAACATCAAGCTAAACACTCAAAATGTAAATCCTTGCCTAAAAACTCAAAATTGAGCTTTTTCCAGTTTTGAAAAATTTGGGTGCTCATGAGCGGATAAAGTGCTGTCTACATAGGTGGGAATCAAGACATCATCACTCCTGATACAACACATAAAGCCTATCTTCTCCAAAACCTCAAAATGTAATAAATGTAAATCTTTGCCTAAGAACTCAACATTGGGGTTTTTGCCGAATTGAAAAATTCGAGTGGCCTACGGAACCTGTTTACGTAGGTTGGTATCAACTCATCACCACTCCTACTACAACATAGGTACCCTACCTCCTCCAAAAACCAAAACTTAAATCTCCCCCAAAAACTCAAAACCACGCTACCGCTTGATCTGGGCCTCCTCGAGGACCCGCCACGGATCGATCTTCTCTTTCCTCCAGAGATCCACCACATCACCCAAGCCCTTGAACACCCGCAGCTCAGAAGCATTTGCAGCCAACCCTACCCGGGGACTCTCCAACGTTCTCTGCTCTCCCTGCAAAACGCCAATCCACTCGCCCAAAATAAACGCAAGAACCTTGGCTAGCATCGTCTCTTCACTAGGATCATCGCCGATCTTCTCTCCAAAGATGCCTCGGAAGAAAGTGGTCAAAAGACGCTGGTAGTTCGGGTACGCTCCGGGATACGCTATGTTGTTGTCTCTGACGGTCCGCAGACAGCCTTTCACGGGAAGATACCCGTCAAAACGGTCTTCTAGCCATGCAAAAGCGGCACCTAGGCCAGTTACAGCTTCAAGCAGGTGGCCTGTTGACCTGGAAACGGCAAATTCCACAGAAGAAGCGCCCCACGAGCACCAGTCGTCGTAGACTCTTTGGACCTGCTCAAAGGGAGCCAAGTCGTCTTGTTCTCCTTGGAATATAAAGACGGGTACTTCTGGAGCTACTCCGTTCAAAGCTAGAATATTCAGTTCAAGCACCTTCTTCACTTCAGGCACATCAAAGAACCCGAGGCCCCTCGTCATCCACGGATCTGTGCCTGTGAAGAGCTCCGTCAAGTCGTAGACCCCAGAAAGCTCTCTGAGACATAGGCTTCTGGCTTTGTAGAAGGTGTCGAGCTTTGTAGGGTTGATTTCCTTTTCCAAAACGTCCAGAAGTCCAGAATACTCCTGAACAAGGCCATTTACCGCCGCTACGGCTAACCCAGAGTAGGATGTTCCGTCCATGGCTATAGCAGTCAGGGTCATGTTGGTGACAAAACCGCCAGCGGCTGCACCGATAATATGGTCTTTTAGCTCTGGAGCATGTTCAGGCTGAAGCTGAGCAGCCCATCCAACGGCAATGGATCCTCCCGAAAACCCAAAAAGACCCACTTTGGCGTCCCTGCTGATTTCGGTGATTTCTGAAGATTTCAACGCTGCACGGATCCCGTCCAAGGTGGCTTTTCCAGATTGAACGCCTGCTGAAAATGCCGATTTGGGTCCCTCGTAGTCGGGAAGAACAACATACCAGTTTTTTGATAATCCGATGTTCATCATGGCCACCTCCACCTGGATACTGAAGGTCCTCATGGAAGCTCCGTAAAGCACAGAGTACGAGGGGCTGCAGTCCAAACAGGCGGAATCTTCAAAAGCCTCGTAGGAAAGTAATTTTGATGGAATGGCGTTGTACGGTTTGATCACCGTGGTGACAAACGCCGTGGGGTTCCTTTCGGAGTCCTCCGATCTGACGAGAAGCTGCCAGGATCCCTCGACATTCAAAGGAAAATACACCGATCGAAGCTGCGCCGGCGTGGGTCTCCAATTGATGATATCGCCGTTTTCGTACCCCGACACATTTGCCGGAACCTCGTAGAAAGGGTCCTGGGTTGGAGGTAGTGGTGATACCCATGCAGCGGAGACAAACGCCCAGAGAAAAACAGCAGCAAGAACTCTTGTAAAAATTCCAGCAAACATGCTCTACAGAGCCTCCAACCGACCTTCCTTCATTATATATTGTCAGACTTCGCCTGGACTATGGGATATGCCTACACGTGGTGAAGCTGACACAAAGCTGGAAAGGGCAGGGTGATCAATGGAAGAAGGGAGATTTGACGGCGTTCTTTGTTGTTTATTCCTTGTCTTGGTTCTGGATCTTCCAGATTGCCAGACTCCGGATCCCAATTGTTCCGGATCGTCCTTTTCCGCTGGCCTTCCGTGAATAGCGCTTTCAGGCTGAGGACATTCAAAATTGGCCTTTTTCAGTAAGCTAACAGTGAATTTCGTGGTAGCTGGCTGCAACTATTTCGGCCCATTGCTCAATATCACCTCTTGGAGGTTCAGTCGGTTCAGTCCCCGCTGCCCTAGACGACCAGCATCACCAAATTAGTCCACGACAATCACAACCACCAAAACTGGGCCTGAACGGCGGAATACGAGAATTTTGCTTTTCCGCCGGCTCAACTTGCCGCAACCACGTGGATGTCTTTGTTCTCAGCAGATCCACGTTCCGAGCGGCTGATCGCCAGGAACGAAAATGTTTTGTTATTGTCACGGAGAATTTGTGCTTTTGTGGCACCAACGGCCGGATTAGACGAATTTTTGCCGAGTGTCGTTTCGGTTTCGACTAATGCACGAGGTCTAACCGAGCGGCATTGTTGCAGCAGGACCCCTCTCGCTTTGCTAGAAGGTGCCTGTTTTGCGTAATTGATAATATCGGGATGGGGAAATTTTGGCTTTTTGAATTATGGTTTTGAGTTTTTGGTTTTTCTGTTATGGGATTTTGGGCAAATGCTGGTGGAGTCTTTCTGGTTTATAGGTTGAATGCGGATGAGCTGAAGAATTGCAAAATTTGGAAAAGTTACCAAAAATCGAGATTTGGTGGTTTTGGAAAAAGGTGATCATTTGAGGCGGCTAAGGTGGAAAATTTTGCCCCTGCAAGCTGCCGGAGCGATCTGGCCAGCATTGCGGGTTTAGTGGTGGGTGTTGGATTATCAACACTTTTAGCGCACAGAGCCGTACGACATCGCTAGGAACGGACTTATCCGATACAAAAAAAAAAAAAAAAAATAAAACAGATAAATAGCCATTAGTCAAAAAACGAGAAATGTTAGTTTATTCGTAATTAATCAGCTCTAATGAGGTCAGTATCTATTTAGGTACTGTACTACCCCATGGACCACACCATAAAGTCCATGTCTATACAGCAAAATCAAAGCCTAAAGGCCAAAATCTTTCAAAGTCCACTAACGCCCAATTTCTAATAACTCCTTCAAACATAGAATTCCGATACGCCATAGCAGATACACAGTTCATGAAAGTAAGCTTCAAAACTACGCTCCCTCCATCCAACTCCATAATAAATTACTATTACTCTACCTCTGGGCAAGCTCGGCAACGTCCACGCCTTCACGCTCCCACAAACGCATGACATCATTGAGACCACGCAACTCAGGCATCTCGGCACCGTTCTCTCTCTTGAAAGCCACAGGACCAATCCGCTCAATAAGCGAGCTGAACGCCAGCGTCATGATCTTGCTCACCATCGACGACTCTGTAATATTTCTAGTGGTTTCGCCGATTTCACCGCCGGCAAAAGAGCTGAAAAGCGTTCTGACAAGCTGGCGGTACTGGACATCGGCACCAGGATATTCGATATTGGTGGTTCTGACGGTTCTCTTGCACCCTTGCACGGGTTTTTCTCCGTTGAACATTTTTTCAAGCCACACAAGAGCAGCACCGCTGCCCTCGACCACCTCTAAAATGTGGCCTGTGGTGTTGGAAACGGCAAATTCTAAACTGTCGATACCCCAGTCGCAGTAGTTCTCATATCCTCTTTGAGCACCCGAAAAAGGCACAATCTGGTCCTCGGTGCCGTGGAAAACGAACATGGGAATTTCAGGAATTGGGCCGTCTTCACTAAGAGCAGCCGAGTTGTTCCTCACCACCTCTTGCACAATGTCTAGATCGAAGAAACCCCAGCCTCTAGTGGCCCAGGGGTTCTTGCCAGAAAAGAACTTCACAAACATGTACTGGATAATCGAGGTGGCAAGGCATTTTTCGTTGGCGGCAAGAAACCGTTTCTGCTTGGATTCCCGGATTTCTGTGTCCACAAGGTGAGAAAGCGTAGGGTACTCATTGAGCAAACCGTTGATAGCGTTGGGGATGAGACCACCGAAAATCGTGCCGTCTGTGGCCTCCGCCCTCAACGTAATATTAGTCACCCAACCTCCGACAGCACATCCAATAAGATTGGGTTTGAGTTCAGGCGCATACTCAGGCTGAAGCGCAGCAGCCCATCCAGAAGCGATAGTACCACCAGAATAGCCCCAGAAAGCCGCTTTTGCCTTGGGGTCGATTCCCGAAATATCCTCTGAATTAAGAGCAGCACGGAGCGAGTCCAAGGTAGCCTGACCAGACTGCTTTCCCGCAGTAAAAGCGCCCTGGATACCCTCGTAGTCTGGAACCACCAAAAACCACCCTTTCGCCAACGCCGTTTGCATAAGCATCATCTCCGCTTGCACGACAATGGTGTCCATGGGAGCATTGAACAACATGGAGTACGACGGGCTGCAGTCGTTGGAGGATGAGTCCTGAGCAGGCTGGTACGACAAAAGCTTCTTGGGGTCGGCATTGTACGGTTCCAATATCGTCGTCACCACCTGGGTAGGGTCACCGTGGGAGTTTTCCGATTTCACCGCAAGCTGCCAAGCATTCTTGACGTTCACGGGAAAGTAGATGGACCGGATCATGGCCGGGGCTGGTCTGGAGGCGATGATGTCACCGTTCTTGTAATCTGAGAGGTTCTTGGGCGCCACATAGAAGTCGTCTTTGGTAGGCGGCGTGGGCACGATGAACTGGGCTGCAGCTACAGCCCACAAAACGAACGAAAGAAGAAGCATACTGGGGCAGTCTACAAAGCAGTGAGTTTAAGTAGTTCGGAGACGTGGTGGCACCTCCGGAGGAGAAAGGCAATTTCTTTCCAAAAGGGGAAAGGAGATGGTCGTGAAGGTGGAGGCTGCACACGAGTAGAGTCAGGTCCGGTGCAGGTGGGTTTGGTAGTTTGTGGGTGGGTTTTTCTTGATTTTGCAGCCATTTGCGTAGGGTTCACGCAGGGATCCATGGATTCAGTAGTGGATTTGGAGAGATGGTATACCATCTTTTTCTTTTTCTTTTTTTTCTTTTGGCTTTATCATATATCTCAAGTCTCTCGGTGTTGACGACAGGCCCCTCCGCTGAATCGGTCATGATCTGTAGATATTACCTATGCGAGCCGGGGCTTTTCCTAAACAGGCAAAGTGTTCTATGCATGAGACACAGGAGAATCGCCAATCGTTCCATCTAAAAAACACAATCCGGAGATTCCAGTCCCGTGCCGAGCAAATAAGTCCCTGAGTGTTTTCATATTTTTTGCATTTTGCTTGGTATCGTGCGAGGGTCAGTGTCACTCGAGGTACCTGGATTGACGGCTTTTTACGGAAACGCCGCATTCGGTTGCATAGACCTTAACCGCCGGGCATAGGAGATAATACGGTGGGGACCTCCGGACTTTCTGCAAATACACGAAAATGCTGCAAACGGAAAGTTCCTGTTTCGAAACAGCCTTGTGTCAAAGTGCCACTTCTCGGGACCTACAGACATTTACGCAGGTGCATTGTATGAGCTAAGGCAATCTGGAGGGAAGTTTTGGAGGTGAGGCATTGTGAGGATGGAGGTAACGAGGTGGCTGAGAAAGGGCAGCTACAATGTGATTTTTTTAGTATCGGTATGGCTGACGAAACGCCGATTCCGCTGAAAACGGTCCAGAGGGGTACCGCATTATCGGTATGTTGCGGCTGAAGCGGTTGGATGCAAAATTGCTACTTCCAGGAACCAAAGCTTATTTCAACGGCAGCATGTGCTTATGGGTCTGGAGGACGCGTGTGGTGGAATGTGAGGAGGGCGTTGATTGGTTGAATTGGGGGATTTTATTGGTGAGTTTCATGAAGAATTTCATCGGTGAGGAGGTGGAGAGTTTCATTGGTTGAGGGTGTGGTTGGTGGGGAGTGGCGAGTTATATTGGACTTTTTATTGGTCGATAGGTTTTGTTGCCGAATGTGGAAGTCGTCGCTGTTTACTATACTGGATTGCATTTGTGGAGTGCTGATGACATGAAACAGTGTGTTGTGCTCTTCACTGGGGTGAGTATTCTGACTCTGAAAGCGCATATCAAGATTTGAAAGCATGGAATTTTTTTTTTAAAAAAAAGAAAGTTTCAACTTTAGACATATTGAGACTGAATTTTCAGGTAGAATTATGACATCTTCACTGGGGTAAGTGCTCTGACTTTGAAAGCGTATATCAAGATAGTGGCATTGAAAATTTCAGATTCAGGACTTTTAGAAATCAAGGTGTAGAGTGGTGTAGAGGAAAAATCGTTTTTTTCAAAGATGCCCCCATATCTATAGAAAGCCAACGGTTTCCACAATCCTAGAAAAGCAACTCCAATTGCCAGTATCTACAACCACAGAAAGCGAGCGTAGTATTGAAACGAAAGAAAGAAGTGGGTATAAAGTGGAAAGAGTGAAAGAGTAGGTATAAAGAGGACGGAATGAAATAGGCGCTCTGCAATCAGCACCTACTCTGGAATAACCGTCTTGGCGAGAACGTCAATATCGTGGCTTCTCCACAAGGCAAGCACATCGTTCAAGCCCTTCAACTCGGTGACCGTGCTGTTGGCACTGAGATCCCTCTTGAACGGAATAGGTCCGAGGAACGTAAACACCCATCCGAAAATCTGCTGCAACATCCAGCTCACCAAAGTCGAATCGTCAATGTCTCTGGTCGTCTCGCCAATCTTACCCCCAAAGAAGGAACTGAAAAGAGTGGCCACGATCTGGTGATACTGGACATCGGCGCCAGGATAAAGAATGTTGGTGGTTCTTTCGGTAGCCTGACAACCCTCTACCGGTTTTTCACCATTGAACATTTTTTCAAGCCAAACAAGAGCAGCACCGCTGCCCTCGAGAACCTCGAGAATGTGGCCTGTGGTTTTCGAAATGGCAAACTCGAAACTGTTGATGCCCCATTTGCAGTAGTTGTCGTAGCCTCTTTGGGCACCTGAGAACGGAACCACCTCATCAGCCTTGCCGTGGAAAACAAACATGGGGATTTCAGGAATGGGTCCGTCGGGCGAAAGCGCCGCTGTGTTGTTGGTGATCACCTCCAGCAACTGGGGATTGTCAAAAATGTCCCATCCTCTTTTGGCCCACTTGCCGATACCGCTGAAGAACTTGGTGAAGAGGTACTTCTGGGTGGATTCCGAGATACAGTAGTCCTTTGCTTTCAAGAAGGCCAGGATCTTGGTCGCTCTGATTTCCTCTTCAAGGAATCCGTCGAGACTGGGGTACTCAGAAAGCAAGCCATTGAGGGCATTTGGAATAAGACCAGCAAAAAGCGTACCATCTGTAGCCTCTGCAGTCAAAGTGATGTTGGTGACCCAGCCGCCGACAGCACAGCCAATAAGGTTTTCTTTAAGCTCTGGAGCGTACTTGGGCTGGAGAGAAGCAGCCCATCCTGAGGCAATAGTACCACCAGAATATCCCCACATAGCAGCCTTGGCTTCCGGGCTGATTCCAGAGAGATCCTCGGAATTCAAGGCAGCACGAAGTGAATCGAGAGTTGCCTGACCGGACTGGATTCCAGCGGTAAAGGCGCCCTGGTTTCCTTCGTAATCAGGAACAACCAAAAACCAGCCTTTCGCTAGGGCAGTTTGCATGAGCACCATTTCTGCCTGGAGCACGATGGTATTCATGGGAGCGTTGAACAACTTAGAGTACGAAGGCGAGCAGTCGATGGAGGCGGAATCCTGGGCAGCCTGGTACGACAAGAGCTTCGATGGGTCGGCGTCATAGGGTTCCAAGATAGTGGTGACAATCTGTTGCGGTTCACCGTGCGAGTTTTCCGAACGCACCTGGAGCTGCCAGGCATTCTTGACGTTGACAGGGAAGTAAATGGATCTGATTTTGGCCGGAGCTGGTCTCCATCCGATGATATCGCCGTTTTTGTAGTCAGAGATATTGGCAGGAGGATGGTAGAAGGTATCTTCGCTAGCAGGGGTGGGTTTGACGAGGATGGCCGAGACCGCGGCTACCCATAAAAGGAGGGACAAGAGAAACATGGTGGAGGGAGATTTTACGAAAAACGGGCCGTTTATATAGTTTTCGTGGGTGGTTGAAATTGCACGGTGTTTGTTTTGCAACCAAAATGTCGTGCCTCTGTCAGCGAGCGTACATTGTCCCCGCTGCTGCAGTGGTGCATGCGACGGGCGGTCTCTATACAATCTATGGAATACATATTATGGTAATGGATACATTTTATGGTAATGGAGAAGGGAAGTTATCAAAATGTGTGAAAGCCATTGAAGTATTGTACTGCCTGAGCTTATGAAAAAACTCCAAAATGTGTTAAAACAACGCTTGTACGACTATGCCTTGTGGACGATCTTGCGTCGCGACATGGTGACGCTGCATGGACAAAGATCCAGTGTCGGTACTCCATTGTAGACCGTATTGTACACCTACTGTCCACAATATCGACCGTATTTTAGTCCATTGTTCACTTTTTTTTTTTTTCAACTTGAACTCCACCGTCCAAGTGGAGAAGCGCCTGCCGTTGGAGTTTATCCCGGTATTAGGAGATAAAAGTGGGGTGCATTGGACGTTTATCGCGTTTCGTGGAATGGCTTATCTGACAGGTTAGCGGTTTTTGGATGTAGGTACCGTGAATCCCCGAGGTGGAGGAGCCGGCTCGACGGAGTGTTTCAGGTCCGAGTCAGTCAGTGCAGATTGCAACAAACGTGAATGAGGGGAGGTAGGGTGAAGAGAGGTAATTGGGGGTTTGGAGTGGTGGAGTTTTGGTGTGGTTTGCCCATTTGCACTACAGTATTGAGGTTGAGCTTTTGAGTTAGTTTTCGACATAAGCGTAGTGATCGGCTCGTAAGCGCAGTGATCGGCTCGTGGACTCATTACCGTTATTAGGCATTTTTTTCTTCGAAGTTCACTCAAAAACCTCTGTGGGGGTGGCTTTAGAACGCAATAGATGCAATAGATGACGTAAGCAGGTAGCCGTACCGAAGCGCAAAACGTTCAAACCGTGCATTTTGTGGTGTGAGGTTTAAGCGCTGGACCACACTGTGCTGGACCTGATGTCATGGCGTATCGTTGTGGAGAAAAGATGTCCTACGAATGATGTCAAACCATGAAGGGCGGTACTTGTGGATTGGAAGAGATTTGAGAAAATAGATATCCATGAAGAGTTTATGTCTTACGGATTCAACGGACTTTCTAGTGTTTATCTTACTTTCTAGTGCTTATCTTGCTGAACGGGAGGTACGCATATCATGCAGCTTACGGCTAGATCTCCTCGCCTTGAACCAGTCCACGTTGTCAAACATGCATTTACGGAGATTTCTCCATGGAGCTTCGTAATCGTACCGGAACTTCTTTCTTATCAATCCGTGACCTTGTTTCAAAGTAATGTCTTAAAATCGGTATATCTCCTTAGGGCGACACAGCACAGGGCAAATATTAAAGAGACTAATGCATTGATTTTTAAAAAATCACAATTCGTCAATTACCCGCTCTGTAGTACTCTCGGTCTCAACAGATATATCAGAAGCCGTGGAAACATCGGAAGCTACCTCCTCCTGAGAAGCAAAATCAGAAACCTCAACATCACCTGGGAAACCAGACTCTGCAGAAACCTCCAAAGCTTCAACAGAATCAGCGTCAACAGAAACCTCAATCTCCTCAACTGCGTCCTCAACCTCCAGCTCCACAGCAATATCCGGAGTGGTGTCGAAAACCTGCTCAGGTGAAGGAGTAGTAAAAGCAGTAAATGCCCACACAAAGAAACGCAGCAACGTCTGACTAACCACCGAAGACTTATTGCTCTCCCTTGTACTTTCTCCAATTCTTCCCCCAAAAAACGAACTAAAAAGTGTGTTCGTAATCTGCCTATACTGAGCATCAGCGCCAGGATAAAGAAGATTCGTAGAACGATGTGTAACCTGACAGCCCTCCACGGGCTTTTCACCGTTGAAAATCCTTTCAAGCCATGCCAAACCGGCCCCGGTGCCCTGAAGAGCCTCGGTGTAATGGCCTGTCGTAGTGGAAACGGCAAACTCAAGGCTTTTGACTCCCCACTTGCAAAAGTTTTCATAACCTCTCTTTGCTCCAGCAAAAGGCACCACCTGGTCTGCAGCACCGTGGAAAACAAACAAGGGAATTTCTGGAATCGGTCCGTCGGGGGAAACCGCCACGGTGTTTTTGTTGATGACCTCCAAAAGACGAGGGTTTCTCCAGAACCCCCAGCCGTTCTTAGCCCACTTGTGGTCACCGCTGAAAAAGTTGGAGTAGCGGTATTTCAGCGTGGCTGCTCTGACACAGAGGTCTCTCGACAGACGGAAATCTTCCACTTTTTCCGGAAAGAGCTCTTCCTCAAGAAGCCCCGCGAGACTGGGGTACTCGTTGATCAAGCCGTTGATGGCATTGGGGACGAGCCCCACAGACTTGGACCCTTCTGTAGACTGAGCAGTCAAAGTGATGTTGGTGACCCAGCCGCCCACAGCACAGCCAATGAGGTTCTTTTTGAGCTCCGGAGCGTATTTGGGCTGAAGATAGGCAGCCCATCCAGAAGCAATTGTTCCTCCAGAATAACCATAAAACGCAGCCTTGGCCTCCGGGCTGATTCCTGATATTTCGTTAGAGTGCAAGGCGGCACGAAGAGAGTCCAAGGTGGCCTGACCAGACTGAATTCCTGCCGTGAACGCACCTTGAACACCTTCGTAATCTGGCATAACTACGAACCATCCTTTGGCCAACATGGTCTGTATAAGCAACATCTCAGCTTGAATCATGAAGGTGCTCATGGAGGCCTTGTACAAGACGGAGTAGGAAGGTGCACAGTCGTTGGACGCCGAATCCTGGGCCGTTTGGTACGATAAGAGTTTCAGTGGATCGCCGTTGTACGGTTCAAAAATCGTGGTGATGATTTGTTGCGGTTCACCGAGGGAGTTTTCCGAACGCACCTGGACCTGCCATGCGTTCTTGACGTTTACGGGGAAATAGAGGGACCGGATTCTCGTTGGAGCCGGTCTCCACCCGATGATATCGCCGTTTTTGTAGTTGGATATGTTCGCTGGAGCATTGTAGAATGGGTCTTCGCTAGGAGGGGTAACGAAGTTTGCGGAAACCACCGCCACCCATAGAAGGAGCTGTAGAAGAAGCATAAGGGTGGAAACGGCGAAAAATTCCCCTTTTATATGGGAATTGACGATGGAGAAGCCACTCTTTGGTTGCTATGCAGCACGACATTTTGGGTGCAAATTTCAGCGACACAGCACGTTGTGCGTTGCCCTGGATCTGTTGATGGCGGTATATAGTGAAGATGGTGATCAACCAAATGGAGAGAATTGAGTGATATTGACGACTTTTTTGTCAATTGATAGTATGGTGCTTTGGAAAAACCTCAGGTATGGAATATTCGGTAAACGGCCTGGTATGCGACATTGGTGACGCTGCATAGGCGAGAACGGAGAATGTTCTTCTCCACAATGTAATGTGAGTTATACGAGTTCTTGAAACCGGACGGAAAAAGCCGGAACATGTCTGGAGGGTGAGCTTTTGGTGTCGATAAAGGCGAAGTGTTTTCCTGGCTTTGTCAATTGAATGGATCGCATGGTACGGATGACAGGACGCATAGGTTGCGGACTCCCTAGATCCAGAAATGTATGTACTGAGCTTTTGAACGTATTCACAGGGTCCAATTATATGTATCGATGGGTGGACATCTTCTTGTTTATGTCCATATAAATCACCTCGTTGACAGGCTTTTTCTCAGTATGTTCACCTTCTCAGAACCTTGGCCATTGGGATATCCTTTCCGGTCACTTAACTGCCCGTAAAGCCATGTCTAGCACGATAGAGCTCTTTTACCTCCATTCACGATAAACCAACATCACTTCTCTGAAATCTGCTCTAACATACTCAACAACACTTCAATCAAATTGCGAAACACAACAACCCTGAGAACACGGGCAATACTTACCCAAATAAAGTCCAGCCCAATTCCAGCTCCAGCAATATCGGATCACTTTCTTCACATTCATTTGTCTTTTGCAACCGAAGTCCAAAGGCATGCACAACCAGGATAGTACAGGAATTGCAGCAACCCCCCACATATAAGACGGACCAATGAACGGACCCAACCGACTGTGGGGTCAAAGCCGAACCGAGATACTCCGTTAGGGGTCTATCAAAAGGATGACCCAAAGCCAAAATCGAACCACTTGGGTATCCCTTGGATTGTTAAAGAGGGTAAGGTGAAATTGGTGGAGATTGAAGGAATGAAACACAGAGGGCAATTGAGAGGACAGGATTTGCAGTCAGATCGTAGAAGTGTAGAGGAAATTGAGTAGTTTTGGGAAAGAATACCCAATAAAGCTTCAACTGGTACAGAAATCGCTTCAATTGCTTCAAAAAGTCCCTTCAACGTGCTACACAAAAATCTCTCAAACGTGCTACAGAGCCATCTCTCAATTCTATAAGTGCCACGCCTAGACATGTAGACCCAAAAAGAAATCACCGCCCCGGATTCAAGCAATCCACATCCAGCAGGCAGATTTCCGTCCCCATTGTTCCGTCGGATTGACCAACCCTTGAGGTCAGAAACCCCAATAATATCACAAATAATAGAACAAGAGCCAAGTGAAATGGCCGATCTTCAAGCAAGCAAGATGGCTCTGCTGTACCCCAAGACACAGAATCTTGATTTGCGTGGACCCCCAAATAATATCCGTCCTACATACTTGGGGCCCATCCTGGTGCAAGGTTTCCCAAAAAGTTGCCAATTTCACCCGAGCTTTGGTTCCACGGAAACTCGTCCGACCTCCCTGGTTTATTGCCTCATTGAATGCGAGTTTTTGCTCGCAGCCACAACCAGGGTAGGGCTCAAAAGCTTAAATTGTGATTTTCACGATGCCGAGTGAAATTCAATTGAGTTCGAGATTCATTCGAAGAGGTCTCATCTCGAGGCAATGCGCTTAAGCAAAAAGGGGCGATGTTTTGGTGGAAACGAGCAGCACGGCGCCACACCCGCATACGGGCCCGTTGGGTCCTCCAAGAAATTGAGATCTTCTAAATCTGGGGAGCGTCCAAATTTAGCACTGGAAGAGCTTCTGGAAACGACCCAGCGTTTTTTTTGCAATTTCAGGTCTTCAATAATGGCGCCATGGATCTTTAACGCAGCACGTCAAAGCCACTCTTAGGCGGGGCGCTGGTCATTGTTGGACTTGAGCCGAGGAACTTCAGGTTGCAATAAAATTACCGCTATGTTGCACAATTATGCACTATGGAGGCTCCAGGCTGGTGAGATGCGACGATCTCGATCTGCGCGTGCATAAATTCCTGCACACAGCCGAAACCAATCTCACTTTCTCTCTCAATCTCAAGCATCTCCTTCGCCTAGCTATTTCTGCAGGCCACGCCTTGAACAGAAAATTAATAGAGAATACGAACTGGTCAGCCCCAGAGGCAGGGTCTCCACAGGCCCAGGCTTCCTTGCCTAAGCCCCACGTTGCGCTAGTCCTAAAAATGCTAACCGCGTTCATGGCCCCATAGTGTGGGTCTACTACATTTACGGAAGCCACGCCACAGAAAGGGAAGGCCGAACCAGAAACACCCTGCAAACCCTGGGTCCAGCCTGAAATGGCTGCAAAAAGCTAAAGCCAAGCCGTCAACTAAAACAACCCACCTGGAACTCCGTGCGGACGCCAGCAACCTTAATACTATGTTCAGTAACAATACGTGAAATTGGCCCTCCCCTGGTCAGTTCCGCGCTGAAATGTGTTAAATCTCTCAAGATCTTAATGCCTCGGGTAGCGTATCTGCCAGATCTAAGACAGATGGATCTTCGCCCAGCTGTCACATTTCTGGTTCCACAACGTTGCACTGTGAGGCCTTTTCCGGGATGACGCCGTGCGGGACGCAGGGCGGCGATTAGAGCCATTTTTGGCTTCATGCGGGCGGGGCTAATTTCACTCTTAATGCCCCAGGGTCCAGTGGTTGCTGTTCCAGGATAGGAGAAGAGACTCGGGAAGTCCTGAAATTGGTGTGAATGGTAGACGAGCCTGTGGCAGAACAATTGGGCATCGTGTACCTCTGTGCAGTCCGCGCATAAAACTGGCGTGAGCTAGACATGCGAGAAGCACGGAAGCTGCGAGGCGACAATAGAACCCGTGTGAGGCAAATCGTTCCACATGCACGAGTTTTTCCGGCCAGCGCCTCTACACCGGACTAACTGCAAGGGCCGTCCTCGGGGTTTGGCACATCCTCACTATAAAATGGCCCAGCCTTTCCCTCAATTCCAACCCACAAAGCAAAACTTACAAAACACATTTTAATAATACAAGCATGGCTTACTACATCGACCAGTCGCTCTCGCCCTCAGCCGCGGCAGAGGACCAGTGGATCAACAACTTGTTATCCACACTGGCACCCATGACTTCGACCAATTCCTACCTGTTCAACATGGGCGTGCCCGTGGTTGAGTCCAATTTCTCCACCACCGACTTCCCCAGCCTATTAGAGGACAACAGCGTTTTTTCCGGCTCCTCCAGAGCATCCACCGTTTCCACTCCTCCCATCAAAGAAGAAGACTGGGACCCATATGTGGAGTCCGACGGCCTGGACTTCATGAACACCGTGCTGTCGAAGCTCCAGATGATGCAGCAGAAGAACAACTTGACGCCCAAGGCGTTGGAGTCGATTTTCGATACCAAGGACGTGCTCAAAGAAACCGAATCCAGTCCGGAACAACAGCCACAGTCTGAGCAGCCACAAAGACTGAAAAGGCGGTGTCCCCGCAAGAGACTCACGGAGTCCCAGAAAGAAGCCCACAACAAGGTGGAGAAGAAATACAGAGTGAACATCAACTCGAAGATCAACAGCCTTCAGACGGTGATTCCGTGGTTTGCTAGCGACAACAACAAGCAGCGGATGGACTTGAAGGTGAACAAGCTGGTGATTTTGGAGAAGGCGTTCGACTACATCGTGTACCTCCAGAAGGAGAACGAGGCGATGAGAAAGCGCCTCGAGGGACGCTAGGGTAATGGTTAATGAGCAATGGGATAATTTATGAATACACGGTACACGGAGGCGAGTGTAGGGCAAAGATAAGAGGTTAATGGGACAGAGATTACACGATTGAGGAATAATGAGTGAATTACAGAGATTGAGGTATATGGATGAATAACGACACAATTAATACACATTACGAGAGCAGTTTGAAAAACGAATTAACGACTTAACGACTTAGCGACTTACGACTTACGACTTGTAGGATCACGCTAATTTCTAAAAACTTCCACAAACCGGAAACCAGGAACCCCCAGCGATATCGTCAAATTCAGACCGAGGAAGCACTTCCCACCGCATTGGCTGATTTGAGATATTATTCCCATGCAGCGGGGAACACCGCAAGCACGAAGAAAAACGGTCGATCATGCTCCGAGGCACGTTCGCTTATGCAGCCGTTTGCCACGATCTGGCAATGTGGACCGTTGCGTGTTTGGCGGGTGAATCCGGAAAAACCCCGAGCGGCTCCAACTCCGAGCATGTCCGATGCCGCACGGCAGGCTTTTTTTATTTATTTTATTTTATTTTAAAACAGAAGGTCATAAAGAGGTTTGATTTTAAGGGTTTGTGAAAATAGTAGAAGAGCAAGCCAACGGCTTGCTGGCCGAGGATGGCTCGGCAAAGTTTATAGCTAAAAAACGGTTTTTCCGATTCTGTGACACCCACGATGCTTGCGGTGGGTTTCGGCTGTGAATGGACCAGTTTACGGTTTTCGTGGCTTTGTGGTTCGGGCTTTGGCAAGTTGCTGTTTTCCACAATTTCCCACACAATCGTGGAAGCGTAATTAAGCTAATTTCAGTAGATACGCTTTCGTCACTCCTCCTGCGTTTCCAGTGACCTAGTCATCAAAAGGCATAAAAGCCAAATTGCAAATATCAAAAATAACATTTTCTTTTCGTGGCGAGATTTGTGAGGCCACAAATACGAGTGGTGCCTTGCGGCGAGGATCTGCTTCGTGGATGCACTAGCTTGTCAGAGGATGCGGCGATCGAAGGGAACCTTTCATTTGTTGATTTCATGCGGCGACAAAGTGGCCTCAGCCCAGGGAAAAAGCAAAAAATGAATTATTGAATTCTTAGAAGTCATCCAAAAACATTCACATAAGGCATTGAAAGTCATAGATCATTTCTAATCAGTCATTCCTCAAACAGTCATATATCAGCATCATCAACCAACCCACTCAATTAGTGAAATTTTAGAAGTCATCCAAAATCATTCCAAAGGCATTGAAAGTCATGGACAGTCATAATCAGTCATTCCTCAATCATTCCTAAATCAACATCCTCAACAACCCACTCAACCACTAGTACACCTACACCACCTTCCATAAGCTTATAAATTACATATCAGCACTCGGCTGCTTCGCTTGGCACCCAAGCATTCCTCGTAAGAGCAGCGCTCTCCTCGGATCTATAAATAACCTAGAAACGACGGTTGGCCAAAGGCTGCGTGTTGGAGCCCGTCTGTCTCTGACGGAATCCCCCACCACCACGACCACCGTATCCTCCACGGCCACGACCACGGCCTCCACGGCCACCTCCACGTCCGTATCTAATGTGAGATCCGTACGAGCGACGGTCGAATCTCTGCAACTCCGGTGGAATGGTCTGGTCGGCTTCTCTCATGATTTTGCAGAGATCACCACCGAGCTTGGAGTTGCCGTCGGTGAAGAAGGACACAGCGGTACCGGAGGTACCGGCACGGCCGGTTCTGCCGATACGGTGGACGTAGTCCTCGATGTTGCCGGGCATGTCGTAGTTGATCACGTAGGTGATACCCTTGACGTCTGACTGTTAGTAAAAAAGTTTTGCGCAGTTGGTCGGCAGGATGGTCTACGAAGAAGAAAGGAGTTCGATTGTCTATTGATTACGTGGAAAGCATGTATACTTAAAGAGTCGGCAGGCAAGATTTCCTCTGGACAGCCACGCCGGGAATCACCCCAGCGGCTGCCGCCGTGTCTTGCTTGTTGAAGGCCCATCGATCTCGTTCTTTCTGTTTGCTTTCTCATAATCAGGTAGTTGTCTTCTAGTCTCCTCGCTTTCGTAGTCAACAATGTGGCTTTCGAAAGGATGCTGTCTGTCACCTTAATACCGTGTACACAACGGTAACAGTCCATTTCAAACCTTGCGTTTGGCTCGCTGGCCCCACCAAGGATAAAAAAAAAAAAAAAGCCAAAAAAAAATTCAATGCTTCGCAACGCTCACGTTGAAGCTAGTCAAATTTCTCTGCCAGGCGTTCCTGACGCCCAGCTTATGCTGACGCCCAAGCACCGTCCTGCAGTGCCCGGGCAACCCCACCCTAGTCCGTTAGTAACAAAAAAACCCAAAATACATACCAATACCTCTGGCAGCCACATCGGTGGCAACCATGATAGGCGACTTGCCGCTTCTGAATTCACGCAACACCCAGTCTCTCTCGTGCTGGTCCTTGTCACCGTGAATGGCCAAAGCAGGCCAGCCGTCCTCTCTCAAAAACGACGTGATGTCGTCACAAGCTCTCTTTGTAGAAGAAAAGATAAGACACTTGGCCTCCTTGTCGGTGGTGGCGGTCTCCAAGTGCTTGACCAAACGGTCTCTCTTCTCAAACTCAGTGATAACCTCCACAAGCTGAGTGATGGTGTGGGAGGCAGCCAATTCCAAGGAACCAATGGTGACCTGAATTGGGTCAATCAAGTAATCTCTGGTCAAGTTCTTGACCTCCTTTGGCCAGGTAGCAGACCACATCAAGGTTTGACGGTCTGGTCTGATCTGGTCAACAATCTTTCTGATCTGAGGTTCGAAACCCATATCCAACATTCTGTCGGCCTCATCCAAAACCAAGTAGGTGACTCTTCTGAGGTTAGTCTTCTTGGTCTCCAACATGTCAATCAAACGACCTGGAGTGGCGATACAGATCTCAACACCACGGGCCAAGTCTCTGATCTGCTGACCCTTGGGGGCACCACCGTAGATACAGGTGTTTCTGATTCTGGAAGAGGCACCAAACTTGGAGCACTCCTGCTGAATCTGAACAGCCAATTCTCTGGTGGGGGCCAAGATCAACACAACAGGACCGTCACCGTGCTTCAAAAGAGGCTGGGCGTTGATGTGCACGATAGCTGGCAAACAGTAAGACAAGGTCTTACCGGAACCGGTGGCGGCGATACCCACCATGTCTCTACCGGACAAAGCCATAGGCCAACCCTGGCACTGAATGGCAGTGGGCTTGGGGAAACCCTGCTGCTTGACCTCGCTGAGCACGTAGTCTGGGAAGCCAGCCTCGTCGAAGGAGGTGATAGGCTTGGGGATGTCGGGACCCTCAATGGTCATGTCGTTCTCCTTTCTGAAGGCCTGAACGTCGGCGTCGGAACGGGCAGCCACCTCTGGGTGCTCGGTGTAGAAGTTCTTCTCGAACTTTGGCAAAGAATCGAGATCCCACTCAGGAGTGGTGAGCTCCTCTCTTTCCATAGGGGCTCTGTTGAATCTACCACCACGACCACCGTAGCCACCACCACGGCCTCCGCCGTAGCCACCGCCACGGGATCCGTAGTCGTCCCTGTTATTGTAGTTGTTGTAACCGGAGTTGTAGTTGCTGTAACCGCCGTTGTAGGACATTTGAAAAGTTAGTTCTAAAAAATGAGACTGGGAATACTGGGGGGTTTATATACGCGGGCGATGAGAAAGAGAAATTTTTGGTGCGGCTATATGCAGGTGATAAAGCATGCCAGCGATGGGCATCATTATTAAGGTCCCCGGGCATTTCTAAACTTGGGTGGGTGTTGGATTTGCTTATTGGAGGTGGGAGATAATAGTTTGCTTATTACTTTGGGAATTGAGGCTTTGCGGGTTTGGAAATGAAGGGGGATGGATGGGGAGGTATATGCAGGACAACTACATGGCCACATGAAGACACCGAAGAGGGATAATTTCTGGGAGGATTTTTGGGATTTTATATATGATTCTCGATGAATTGAGGAGAGAGTGTAAGACTATTGTATAGAGGAGTTTTTTGGTTTAATATGAGGGGGTTCAATGCAGAATAATGTCTCGATGAGCTGGTAGTCAATTTCCAGATCCGCAGGCACCAGCAGAGGATGTGTTTTTTCGTCATGTTTCCCTTATTTTTTTTCCATTATTTAATTGGAACTTCAAACTGGATTCCAGCAAAAAGCAATTTGATGCCAAATTTCAAACACCAGGGTAATTGGCGCTTTTTTCGTTCTCAAAAGTAAAGCATCTCATGGCGTGAAAGCTTTTCGCAGCCTTCCATGCGTAATTTTGGATCAATGAGATGCACCAATAAGACTCCCCTAAATGATGGAAGCATAAGATTTTTGAAATTTGTAAAGCAAGGGAATGCAAAAATAATTGCAATTCAATAGAAACGAAAAAAAAAAAATAACAAAAATACAAAAACTTCGTCTTCTAAAGACTCACAGTGGCTCGATGAGGTACATCTATAGAGCACTTTCGCAGCCATTTGTAAAGCGGTAGTCCAGATATTTCCATAAACTGGCCGTACAGAAACAACATTTCTTCATTTAAATGCTCTTCAATTGGAGAAATCAAAGATCAGAACTTCATTAATCGAAAAACGATATCAATCTATGGAAAGCTACCTCCTTCACTATATATTCTGCACATCCTCATACACCCACACTAACCAATACCGATCCAAACCTCAATTTCAAAGTCAAAGCAAAATCAAAACGAAAAACAACCCCCTCCCTCCTCACCAACCTCTTCATTTCAAAAACCCCTTCATCTTAATCCGCCACCTCTCAACACCTCTCTATGGGTACCGCACCTCATCACATCTTCGCGAAATCTCATCTCACCAACCACATCCAAAACCACCTACATCATGGAAAACGACACCGCCATGGACGTGGAGAGCGAGCAGGAGTACGACATCGACAAGATCCGGTTGTTGCCCGGACTGGCGGAAGACGGCACCGCGCTGTCGTTCCAGATTGTCGACGAGGACCACACCTTGGGCAACGCCTTGAGGTACATCATCATGAAGAACCCCGAGGTGGAGTTTTGCGGCTACTCGATTCCGCATCCGCTGGAGAACAAGTTGAACGTGAGAATCCAGACGTACGGCAACATCACGGCGTTGGAGGCGTTGCACCAGGGCATGGACAACTTGAGCGAGTTGTGTGGGCATGTTGAGGAGGCTTTTACGGAGAAGGTGGAGGCCGGGGGGTATGCCAGTGAGGAGCCCTAGGCGGCGGAGCCGAAGGCGACGTCGCCGGCGCTTCTTAAGAGCCGAAGCGAATTTGAAAGAAGCTGAAGGCTTCTTGAAAAGGAGCAAGGCGACGAAAAGGAGCACGGCGACGAAGAGGTACTCTTAGGAGCAAGACTAAAGGTGCCTTTGAAAAGAAGACGGCGACTCGAGGAAGCAGGAAGCTTGGAGAGGGCCCGATGGACACGATTTGTCGTGGAACAGTGTAATATACGAGAGCATTTGACAAGTGTAGAGGTGCATGGCGAGGGTGGGTGAAGAGGGTGGTATTGGTAGAGGGGGCTAGTTTTGCTGGGGATGCTCTTGAGGAGGTTTCTGAGGGGTTTGCTGAGAAGTGTTCTGGAAACTTGAGGTAAAGCAGGATGGTTTTATGGTATGGAGTGCTTTTGAGTTGCGTTCTTTGAAAGACACAATCGAGGCATCCAATGGATACCCCAGCTATCACAGATCAGCGATGAAGGACACTTGGAGAATGAGCAATTAGCGAAAATTGACAAGTTGCGTTCATCGTCGCCTCAATGTAGTGGCATAAAGCATTGGGATTATTGGTTATCATGGTCTTGTCGAGGTCTATAAGTCAAACTGATGGGTGCCGAAGATATAGCTCACTCGAAGTCTCTATAAGAGTACTTCACTCGGCTCATTTGAAGACTTTTGAAGTCTACCCAGTTATGCAATTTCAGGGCATTTCTCATGTGGCATGGTTTCAATGACTTCGTATTTGATCCTTCCACAGGTGTTGTACCGTAGGACAGGCTAGTGGATCCTGCTGAGCCTGATACTGCAATTTACTGAGGTATAGAAGTCAATGAATTCCTGAAATAGCTTCTTCGATGCCAAAAGCCTCAAAATTCAAAAGCCTGGAAAATTTGGCCCTGATCTTCTGAGGCTTCTAATGGGTGCAAAACAGAGAACACCAATAGACACCTGTGGACTCAACAGAAGAGAGCTGACCCTAAAAAAAAAAGAAAAATTCACCTTAGCAAAAACCTCCCAAGTTCATAAAATGACTTACATCAAATTTGGCAAAAACCATGATTCAATTGAACATCCCTAATCGCATACACCGCTGTGTCGTGAGATTCCAGTGGAAGTAGCACACCTTCAGACGAATTCGGCGGCATTTTGAATTATTCATGTATATACTTTCCTTTTCAAAGGAAAAAAGCTGAATGTCAAAAAAACCCACTCAACAAAACACAACTCCATCTTATTCCCTACCACAATTCCCATCTGCGACTATACCTCTAGACTGTACCTCCACATTCAAGAAGTCCCACACAGTAGTCCACCAACTCCACCACCCACAGCTCCGCCAAAACCAAATCAAACCACCCAAAACCTCCCAATCAGCCAATGAATAAAAAAACTATTTCCTAAAAAACCACTTCTTGTATTATCTATGTATTATCTATCACCCACCAGACCCCCCCACCCGCATGCACTCCATCGCGTACTTGTACCATCAACACCAACTTCTTCTTCAAAACACCATGAACGCTTCGCCGACAGCGGACATTTCCGAGCTGTTTTTGCACGTGAGCGACCACACGGCCCGGCTTTCCCTGGTGGACGATACCACGCGGTCGCTAGCGGATTTCCGGGAACTTATTCAGTTGGCACAGAAACACGATCAACAGAGGAAGAAGGACGAGAATTTGGACAAAAAAGGTGGCGAAAAGGAGGGGAACTTGGCCAGTCCGGGCTTCGGCCGCATTGTGGGCCAGCTGAGCCAGCTGACGCCGTTGGCAGGCCGAAACAACGCCGATGTGGCGGAACTCTTCCACCTTTTGCAGCCATTCTTGGAGCGGTACCTAGGGGAGAAGAAGGAGAAACCGCAGCGGAGCCGCTTGGGCAGCGTGGCGGAGGACCCGTTCACAACGCCGAAAAGGCTGCCCGTGGAGCCTGAGCTGGACTCGGACCGCCACTCGGAAATCAGACCCGACGACACCTTTGACAAGCCCAGAAAGCTGCTGCCGGCGCCGGCGCTGCTGCCGATAACGACGCCGCCCATGTCGAGGGAGAAGCTCGAGGAAACGGAGGAGGCGACGGAAACGAGGTCCGATTTTGGCACCGACGACTCCGATATGTGCAAGTACTTTGGCGGCGCTCCACAGGTGGAGTTGGCCGACCTCACGGCGGGGGAGATCGAGATTGAGTCCAAAAAGCCCGACTCCGCCAGGGAGCTTGCCGAGCTCAGGCTACAATTGGACTTGGCTCGCCAGCAAAACAGAGAAATGGCCAACGAGCTCGGCTACCTTAGGGACAAGCTCGCCAGCAAGAAGGAGAACACCACGCCCATTAACAGCGACAATGTCGACGCCTGTTTCCGCCCGTACTACCTGAAGCTCCAGCTTGACAAGGTGGACGGTCTTAGCGATGTGGAGAAGAGCAATGTGATCAAGAACTTGATGCTCTCGTTGCTTGTGTCCGATTTCGACCATCTTCAGAAAATGGCGCCCCGCGTCGGCGACTACCTCCGTATTTCGTCCCGTTTCCTCGACAAGCTTCACGCCCGTTACTACGAGTGTGGGGAGTACTGTCCGCTGCGGTACTTGCGGGACTACGCCGTAGAGACCATGGACGACTTCCAGGCGTGCCTAGACGGCATGATGGCGCTTGTCGTGGGACTGGAAAAGAGTGAATAATGAATATTTGACTTAACGGTACATTGCTGGCTCTCGGAGCCGGTAGGGATTATTTGGCTGGGTTACTAGGATATTTGGCTGGGTACTAGGAATGTTATACATATGCTAGCGCGGAGTAGACTCCGGGCTGGATGGTATTTGATGAAATTTACGGAGGGTTGCATTGAGTGAAAGTTTACTTTGGTGCTTCATGCTTCATGCAATGGAAGGTTTTGGAAAATCGTCCATTGTTTCGAAAGATTCTCTACAGGAGACATGAAGAGAGCAACCAAAAACCCGAACTTCCATCAAATACCTGCAAGCCAACGCGTAGTTGTGATTCACCAATAAGGTTTTCTTACCAGCATCTTGGTTGCTCAACTCCAGCTTGCATAACCGGATGACCAAAGAAATCGGGAACCACGGGTCCTACAAAGAAACAAAAGAAACCCTTCAAAAGACAGCAGATTTTTGTGACAGAAAAAGATCAAACTTTCAAATTCTCGTAAATTTGAAAATCAACCTCCATCGAAGCTTCCTCTTCCTGGTTGCCCGATAGGTCGTGCGACGATACCCACCCGTGCATATACACACAAACCACCTGCATAGCAATAGAAACGTAGAGAAAATATCACCATCTCCCATTTCTTGGAAACCGTCACCCCCCAACGGGAACATTGCTGGGAAGACCAGGGCTGATTTGCAGCCAGCGCACGTGACACATCACGTGACAATAACAAATAGCCATCGCGCGTCACCTGATCTCACCGCCTGCACACAAGCGCCTCACCCACCCAGACAAACCGTGCAACTGTGCCTCGTGTTGCTACGTGGGAATGCCCACTAAAATTGCTGAGTTTAAGCAAAGCAGGCTATTTGCGGGGCTTAGACACACCCGTACACCACGGCCATTGTATGCACGGCCTAAACTGCTAAATACTAACCCACCAACACCTCTACACCGGAGAATGCAGCGGGCTGCGGCGGTATCTTTCCCGCTATTCTGGCGCCGTGAGCCGCACGTGACCACCCATCCAGAAGCAAACGTCATTTATCACCTTTCATCGAAACCGAAAACCACCCATTCTAGTCCACAAAACAAGCACATCCCAGCACAACTTTTTGGTACATAGCCCGTGCCATTGAAAACCCGTGCCTCACGCCACACCGCCTATTTCAGCGCCGTCTGGCTTTTCAAATTCCCCATTGTGGAGGTTAGTGAGTCTTAGATAAGCACTCAGAGGCTCGCCAACAGAACCTCCTTCGTATCGGCCCCCAAACCGGCCCGAACCCACTTGAAAGCGGCATTTCCGTCTTCTCCCAGCTTTTCCGGTGCCGCTGGTGTAAAAAAATTTAAAAAAAGTCCCCAACCATTCCCCCGTTTTGCCCCATAGTCCCAAATGGGTGACACACTTCGAGCACAGAAACCCAGAACAAACGGGGCCCCGCCACCAATGAAACGTCAGGGCGCCCAGCAAAGAGCAACCCCGACCTCCCTGGAGCAGCCACGTCTGCTAGACCAGCGCCAGCAACAAAAGGACAACTCCATGAGACTTGAGGTGGGTAACTACCACAATCTGCCCATGGCTCCACAGACCGTGCCTTCGGCTGCTCCGCATTTCAACCAGTCCCGCCACAACTCGCAAGCGTTTCTTTTCAACCCAGGCCGCCAGGACCTGATGCTGACGCTTTTGAACCTGTACCCACTTCCCAATACCCAGCAGCCCCAGGGTCAGGGCAAACGGCAGGATCTGAGCTTCCCAAGCTACTACATGGGGCTGCGTGACTCCTTGAGCGGCGCTGCGGGTCTCCCGCCTGAAAGCGGGCCGCCTGGACGCCTCAGAGGCGATTCCATCTTTCTTCCTCCTCCGGTGAGTTCCAAGCATCCTTCTGAAGACGGGCTGGGCCAGCAGAACGCCCAGGCTCAGTACCAGCAGCAGTTCCCAGGGCAGCTGCGCTCCAACAGCATTTTCAGCTCGTTGATCCAGATCCCAGGGTCGTCGCTGAATCTGGTGCTGGAGCCATCCAAAGGTGGAAACCAGGGCACCGCAAGCCCGAAAAAGAAGCAGCAGGAGGAATTTCCCACGTACGATTCCAAGGACTCCATTGGCCAGATGTTTGGGTGGTCTCAGACGCCGTCCAAGCTGAACAAGGGCTCGAAGCTCTCGTTTGACATTCTGAATGCATTCCTAGAGAACTCGGGCCTCCTGGGCTCCATTGCGGGTGTTTCCAACGACAGCATCAACGCCTTTTTGGCAAACTTGCAAAGCAGCGGCTCTGTCGACTTCAATAGCATGAGCGACCAGCAACGGCGTGATTCGCTTATCAAGTTCATCAACGATCAGCAGCATGTCGAGCAGCCCAGGAAAACGTCTCTGCGGACAACTTTAAGGGAAGACATTTTCGACAAACTGAGAGGCAGCTCCACGCTGCGTTCCGGTGGTCAGCGCAAGTCGAGTCTAGGCATGTCTGACCAACGGCTTTCCCCACTGTCGTCCATGTCGTCCAAGCTGTCACATCGCTACCAGGACGAACCCCATTCACCCAAAACGTCGCCTAGCCAAGTGAAACGTACCTTAGACCCGCAGGAGACTCTTGCTCCTCCCCATCAACACTATCCTTCCACAGCCCATCCAGCATCCATCCAGAAGCCTTCGAACAACAACTTCTACCAAAATGCTTATCAACAGTATCCCGTCTACGACAATAACGTGCGCTATCCAGTGCAGCAGAAGCAGCAACAAGAACCCCCTCCATCTCAGAGAAACATGAATCCTCAGGTTCAGCAGTACCACCAGAGCCAAATGCCCATGTATAATCAGTTCCAGCAACCACAACAGCTTCCTCCACAGTCTCAGCAGCATCTACCGAACCAGCAACAACATCCCCAGCAAGATCAACACCAGCAAAACCAGGGCTTTGATGTCCAGGGAACTCCAGCCTATTCTCCTCAGATGCTCAAAAACCCTCCCCAGCAGTTCTCTCCTGGTAAAAACTACGCCTACGGCAACATGCAAAACCAGAGAGATGCTTATGCTGTACAGCAACAAGCTACGAATCCGAACTTGTTGCCTGCCCAGCAATTTGCCAGATCTGAGGATGGAAGACCGTTATTGGGAGCCACCAAGGTTGACCAGCTTATGCTTGTGATTCAAGCCAGAGAGAAGGGAAACACTGGAGCGATCAAACAGGCTGCTGACGGAAGCATTCTTGCTCTGCCAAACTCCAACCATGAAAAGAGCGCTGTGATACCGCTGACGGTGGATTTGGTTGGTGGTATTGAAAAACCTCAGCGTGAAGACGAAGAACAGCCTGAAGGCCCAGAACGTAAGAAGAAGCGCAAGGGCAAGACGCAACAATGCCCTTACTGTTTCAAGACTTTCAACCAGTCCACACACTTGGAGGTTCATGTGCGTTCTCACATTGGATACAAGCCGTTCCAGTGCTCCTACTGTCTCAAGAGATTCACTCAGGGCGGTAACTTGAGAACACACATGCGGCTTCATACTGGAGAGAAACCATTTACGTGCGAGGTTTGCAACCGTTCGTTCAGCAGAAAAGGAAACCTTGCCGCTCACATGTTGACTCACAATAAGGAGAAACCTTACGAGTGCAAGCTTGACAATTGCGACAAGTCGTTCACCCAGCTTGGTAACTTGAAGTCGCATCAGAACAAGTTCCACTTGCCCACGTTGAACCGGTTGACGCAAACTCTCGCTGAACTCAGTGGTGAGGCCTTGGAACGTTTACCACCTGAAGAGAAAGAGCTCCTCAGCTACTTCCGCAAGCTCTACAAGAACCTGAACAAGGGCATTCGTGGGCGTGGTCGTGGCGGTAAAGGAGCTCTTGACGATGACGCCATTTCTGGCGAATCCAGTGTGCAGCTGAGTCCTCAGCAGTTGAAGCTTCCCAGGGCAGACGGGCAGATGCAGATGTCACAGCAAGGTTCGCCGCTCATGCCGCCGACCGTGCAACGTCCCGACGGATACTAATAACGACCCAAAATCACGAACCTAACGATTGAAATTAATGCGATACCGGGCCGGTCCCAATGAAATAAATACGAGAGAGTTAATGAAAAATATTGGAGACAGAGGTGTAGATGTGTAGTAGAGAGGGAGGTGGCTTTATGGAGCTACATATGGGTGAAAGGCGAATAGTATATAAGTCCTTTTGGTTGTACTGGATTACAATGAAGAGTGGTAGAAGAAGACCATACAATTTACTTATAATCAACACCATAATACTATTCAGAATTTAAAAGGCACAACGAAGCTCTTCAAATACTTCATTTTTTCAAAAACTCCCGAAAGTCATAAGAAATCGCTAAACTCACTTACAGTATAAATGGTTGCAAATCGCACAGTATACATATCCATCCAACCTCCACAACACTCAACCAAGATACACGCTTTTGGCAAATTTCACGATTTTAGAAAATACCTCAAAACAATTCCTTGAGACCATCTCCATAAAATCCTATTTTTTTTCTTTTTTTAAGTAAATCTACCTCGCCAGAGCTCAACACCCTGCACAGAAACCACATCAAGCAGCCTGATCCTACTACTGAGCTCCAAAAGACCCCGCCAATTTCCACCATGCTGAGTCTCTACAAACTCTCAATCTCGGGAATACGATCCTTTTCTCCGAAAGACAACGAAATCATCCAGTTTGGCGCGCCGCTCACGCTTATATGTGGTCAAAACGGCTGTGGAAAAACCACCGTGATCGAATGCCTAAAATACGCTACTACAGGCGATTTGCCACCCAATTCCAAAGGAGGCGCGTTTGTGAACGACCCTGCTGTTGCAGACAGGCTGATGGTGAATGCCGAGATCAAATTGGGCTTCATTTCGGTGGATAATAAGCTGATGACGGTGACTCGAAGTATGCAGTTGACCAGGAAACGAACAGGACGCCTGACGACTTCCACAAACACGTTCAAGACTCTTGAAGGTCAATTGGCTGTTCACGCCAAGGGCCGCAAAACGTCGATATCCACCAAAAACGCAGAATTGGACACCAGAGTTCCTCAGTACTTGGGTGCATCCAAGGCTGTTCTAGAATACGTGATTTTCTGCCACCAGGAGGACAGCTTGTGGCCATTGAGCGAGGCCAGTGTGTTGAAGAAGCGGTTCGACGAGATTTTCGAGGCGTCCAAATTCACAAAGGTGTTGGACAACTTGAAGGTGATCACCAAGGAAATGGCTACCGATATCAAATTGCTAGAACAGAGCGTGCTGCACGCCAATTTGGATAAAAAGAGGGCAGGAAAGATCAGGGATAAGGTTTCGGAAAGCAGAGCCAAGGTGGAGCAGTACAATGCTGAGATTGCCGAGCTCAATATGGAAATCGAGGCCTTGGAGAAACAGGCAGACGACCTTTTTCACTCAAATCAGCTGTTTCAGAAGACCCTTTCGGAGCATGAGCGGCTCAAAATAATGTACGAAACGACGGAAAACAACCATCGCCGTTTGGGCCTGTCGATTGAGGTTTTGCGGGAAACTGATGAGGAATTGAGTCACCAGTTGTCCAATTTTGCGCTGATACAGCAGCAGAAGTCCGAGGATGTGGAAGAAAAAGAGCTTTTGGTGGTCGATCTCGATGCCCAGCTGCTGGCGTTGCAAGAAAGCCTCTCCAAATTGACCAGAGACGAGGGTATTTTGTTCAGCAAGAAAGAGGCCTACGAGGAGCGCAAAAAGAGGTTTTTGGAAAGTCTGCAGCAGCTCAGGGAGAAGTATGGACTTGGTGATGCTCTAATAGAAGATCTCAAGGCGCTTGTGCTTCAAACAGAGGACCAATACAACAGGTTGGTGAATGCTAATAAGCAGCAGATTGAGGAGGCAACGTCCAAGGTCAAGGAAGCCGAAAAAGTGCTTTCTCGTGAAGAACAGCATAAAAGCTACAACGCAGAAGAGATCAAAAACACAAAAGCCAAGCTCAAGGAGTATCATGCCAAGGTAAGCTCTTCTGCTGCTAGTGAGGATAACCTTACCATCGAAAGTGCCGAGCTCGACTCGCTTCAAAAGAAGTTGGCCAAGAAGAAGGAAGGCGATAATACAAAGGCGCTTTCAAAGAGCATACAGCAGGATACCGAGAAGCTCCATGTTTTGGAGAATGACCTTGATGATCTTATGAGGAAGATCACTACTGCAAACAAACAAGCAGATCTATTCAGCAAGTTAGATTTGCTCAAGGATGCTGTAACCGTTAAAAACGACGTGCTTCAAAAAAATCTTTCGCTGAACCAAGACAGCTTTCAGAAGGTTACAGGCAAGGAGTTAGCTGATTCTGGAGAAGCCGCTCTTGACGACATTTTGGTGAATCTCAACACTAAGGAGAAGGACCAGATGGATTCAAGCAAAGCCTTGGTGTCGAAGCTAGACAAGCTCAAGGCTAATAACGATTCTGATAGTGTCGCCTTAAAGAAAATTGAGGATGCTCTCTCCTCGCATACGGCCAATATACTCAAGGTGATTGAGAAGAACGAGATTGACCAGTTTGAAGAATTGGTCCAGGAAGCCGAGGAGGACTATAATACCGCCACCTACAATTTGAACACCTTTGACGTCACCAAAAGCTTCAAAGTCAAAGCCATTGAAATCGCCAAACAGTCCAAGTGCTGTACGCTTTGCAACAGAGGCTTTTCAAACTCCGAGCTTGATACGTTTATTCTGGAAGTGCAGCAAAACCTCAATAATGTGACTGCTAAGAAGCTACAAGAGGATGTGGATTCCACCAAGAAGGATGTGGACCAGATGAAGGCGATCAACTATGATGTTTTGCAATATCGCTCTTTGACGAAAGAGGTTTCCAACTACAAGCTGCTGATCCAGAAAAGAGTCGAGGAAATACAACAGCTTCAGAAGGAGTATGATGTTTTGGAGAACAGCCTTGAAGAAACCAAGAACTCTCTCAATGAAGCAAACAGGCTTAAACAGCCGCTCAGCAACATCACGAGATTAAAAGATGAGATCAACCATTCCAAGAAGCAGATTGAGGATGTTCAGCTGGAGCTTGATGCAAGTGGCGCTTCTTCGATGTCCATGAATGAACTTCAAAAGTTGCAGCAGGAAAAGAATTTTGAACTCAAGAGATTGCGCCAGAGCATTGCAGATGCAACAGATGAAAGAGATTCGCTCCAGAAGGAGCTTTCCAGAATTGAAGGGCAGATCAAGGACAAGGAGCTTCTGATCAGTAACTTGAAGAATTCCATGAATGAGCTTGTCACTTTGCGGAGTACCATTGACGAGACAGAAAAGCATCTCGTTTCTTTGCAGGAGAAGCAGAAATCGATCGAGGGAAATGTCAAGGAGTACGAGCTGAAGTTGGCTGATGTTTCCAAAGCTTTTGACACTTTGAAGGAACAACTTTCGAAGGAGGAATCGGCTTTGCATGAAAAGCTCCAGAAGTGCCAGCAGGATGAAGCAGAGTTGCGTGATCTTTCACAACACATCGCCGCTTTCGAGGAGCAGGATCTCCATAAAGTGAAGGAGAACCAGCGTCAAATCAGCGAAGCAAGGGCCAAGATCCAGGAGATCACCAATTCCAGAAAAGCGTTGGATAAGGAGATGACGGCCTTGAAGAGTGCCCTCAACGACGCCGCTAAAACGAAACGTAACATTGAAGACAACATCGAGTACAGAAACACAGAACAAGAGCTCGACTCCATCAGAGCCCAGATTGAACAGCTCGATGTTTCCAATGCTGAAGTCGAAAAAGAGACCTACCAAGCTGCATCTAAGAAACTTCGTGATCAGATCAACGATCTCAACAGCCAGCATTTTGGAAAAGCCGGTGAAGTGAAGCAGATCAATGACCAGATTCAGCAGCTTCAACAGGAGCTCAATCTGGAGTTCAAGGACGTGGAGAAGATGTACCACAAGGAGTGGATCAAGCTTCAGACAAATATGCTTGTTTCCAAGGATCTCCAGACCTATTCTCTGGCTCTCGACAACGCCATCATGAAGTACCACAGCATGAAGATGGACCAGATCAACAAGATCTTGAGAGAACTCTGGAACCAGACTTACAAGGGCACTGATATCGACCGAATTGAGATCAAGTGCGATGTGAATACACTGGGAAGAGGCCGTTCGTACAACTACCGTGTGGTGATGTACAAGAAAAGCTCGGAGTTGGATATGAGAGGAAGGTGTTCTGCCGGTCAGAAGGTTTTGACCAGTATCTTGATTCGTTTGGCTTTGGCGGAGTGTTTTGGAACAAACTGCGGTATGATTGCCTTGGACGAGCCTACGACGAATTTGGATACAGAAAATGCCGAATCGCTAGCCACGGCGTTGAATTCCATCATTGATGCCCGGAAAAACCAGAAAAACTTTCAGCTCATTGTTATCACACACGACGAGAAGTTCTTGAGCCACATCAACGGCGAAAGCTACATTGACAACTTCTACCGAATCGAGCGTGACGAAAACCAGTATTCTGTGATAAAGAGCTTGCCCATTCATCTCATGCAAGATGAGTAAAGCCGTTTTTCAATCTTCTTTGGGTGACCGCCTTTTGATGGAATCTACGGTTTTGTCTTTCTCCACCCAGAATTTTTCAAGCCACCGCTCCATTTTGGCCCGTCTGAGAGGAATTCTGTCCAACAGCTTCTTCTTGATATGGACCGTCACTTTGTGAGGATCCTTGCACGAGAAGAATTCAAGAAGCGTCACGGGCTTGCTGTGCACTATCAGGACATCGTACAAAGTGGAGAACTTCTGTGCTTTTGTGGGCAGCTTTTCTGCTTTAAGCAGCCATACGGCGTTGGAAAAGCTCGAAAACCTAGGGTACAAGACCTGGTGCATTTCTGGAAGAAAGTACCGGCGAGCCTGGGCTGCCTGGAGATACGACGTTTCAGGCGTCCAGATGTTGACTTCTGGAAAAAGAACCACCCATTCTGGCGTATTGGAGTCTCTGACTCTGTGAAACAACCTGTCGCTTTGCAGCTGGGCCAATTCCCAGTTTTCGTCGCTTCGGGCCATATTCAAAAGAACTTTGGCTGAAGGGGCACGGGCCAACGTGAACCACGTGAAAAAATTGATCTGTGGAAGCGCCTCCCATTGGATTTCTCCCTGGTTTCCCAGCTTCTGAGCCAAAGCAGCCAAGACTATATAGTCTGCAAGCAGCTGATGGTTGGCAATAAGAACCGCCGAAAACGGGTCAACAGAGTCACCTTCCACGTCAATGCTGACTCTGTTGAGCTCGCTCAAAAAGATGCAGAGCTTCCAGACCAACATCCCTGCCATTCTTTTGGTGTACTCTGCCAAGTCAGGAAAGAAGACTGAAGCCAACGACAGACCTAGGGATACCATGTGGTAGCAGCCGCACGCCGTCAGCACGAGCCACAAGGAAACGTAACCACGTGACTTATAGAGAACCAGCTCTACTGTTGGATTGGGCGCTGCCGAGATGCCCAAGTGTGAAAGAAGCTCCATGGTGGTTTTGATTGTGGATTGAAATGGCTGCAAAAACCGGAGCCGCGCTTAAGTGTTGTGCGCCTTATATGCACTACCGTATCAAATCGGTCCTACATTTTCATCTCATCGCTGAGATGCCCCATACTATCCAGACATGTCTCGTTTAATTGTCAAGGGTCTCCCGAAGTATCTCACAGAGGACAGGCTCCGGAAGCATTTTGCTGCCGAGGGCAGCGTGTCGGACGTGAAGCTCATGAAAAAAAGAAACGGCGAGTCCAGACAGTTTGCATTCATCGGCTACAAGTCATCTGAAGATGCCAAAAAAGCCGCCAAATTCTTCAACAAGACGTTTATCGACACAGCCAGAATTGAGGTTGAAGTTGCCAAAACGTGGGCCGATCCTACGGTGCCCCAGGCCGTCAGAGAAAAAAGAAGACTAGCCGAAAGACGTCTCATGGAGCAGGAAGAAAGACTCGAAAGACAGAAGGAGGAGGCCGAGCAGAGAAAGAGGCAGAAAACGGAAAAGAAATCCAAACTTGACGAGGAGATCGCTGCAAACCCAAAGTTGAAAGAGTTTATCGAGGCTACAAAGCCTGCTTCTCAGAGGCAGTCTTGGGCTAACGATGGAGCCGATGGACTGGGTGCTCCTTCTGCAAAAGCTCTAGAAACCGCTTTGGCCGAGCAGGATGGTCCTAAAGTCGATGAAGAGAAGTACAGCGTGGCTCAGGCGCAAGAAGCTGCCAGTGACGATGAATATGACGATTTTGGCAAGGACGAGCCTGAGGAGGACGAGCCCATGATGAGTCTCAATGACGTGAAGGAGGGTGAAAATGCCGAGGAGGAAGCAGCCGACGACGACTTGGCCAAGGACGAGAACGTTTCGGATCTAGATTGGCTCAAACTGAGAAGAATCAGAATGAAGGAGAACCAGCCGGAAGAGGAGGAAACAAAAGAGGAACAGCCTGTGGAAAAGCCCCAAAGAGTCCACAAAGAGCCCGTTCAGCAGAAATCCGAGGCCGAAAAGATCAAGGAAACCGGCCGTCTTTTCATCAGAAACATTCTCTACGATTCCACGGAAGACGACTTCAGAGAACTCTTCAGCGATTACGGCCCTCTCGAGGAGGTCCACATCGCCATCGACACGCGTACCGGAAAATCAAAAGGTTTCGTCTACATCCAGTTTGTCCGGAACCACGACGCCGTTTCCGCCTACAACGCCTTGGATAAGCAGATTTTCCAGGGCAGACTTTTGCATATCTTGGCGGCCGAGGCCAAAAAGGACCATCGTCTTGACGAATTTGCATTGAAGAACTTGCCACTCAAAAAGCAGCGTGAGCTCAAGAGAAAAGCCCAGGCCGGTAAGTCTCAGTTCAACTGGAACTCGCTTTACATGAACAACGACGCTGTGCTTGAATCCGTGGCAGCCAAAATGGGTGTTTCCAAGCTGCAGTTGATCGACCCCCAAAACTCCAATTCTGCTGTCAAGCAGGCGTTGGCAGAGGCCCATGTCATTGGTGATGTCAGAAAGTACTTTGAAGATAGAGGTGTGGACTTGACGAAGTTTGACCAGAAGGAGCGTGACGACACCACCATCTTGGTGAAGAACTTCCCCTTTGGAACCACCAGTGCCGAATTGGGTGATCTTTTCGCCGAGTACGGCCAGATCAAGCGTATATTGATGCCTCCTGCTGGAACCATCGCCATTGTGGAGTTTAGAGATGCACCAGGCGCCAGAGCTGCCTTCACAAAATTGGCCTACAGAATGTTCAAAAAGAGCATTCTCTACTTGGAAAAAGGTCCTCGTGATTTGTTCGTTCGTGAGCCCGTTGCTGGCGAATCTGTTGACGTTGAGAAGCCTTCTGAAAAGGCTGTTGAAGCCAAGATCACCGCCGACGACGTCATGGGCAGCGAAAAGCGTGCTGAGAGCGACGTTGAAGACGAAATCGAGGGCCCTACCGTGTCTGTGTTCGTGAAGAACTTGAACTTCGCTACTACATCCGCCGCATTGACCAACTTGTTCAAGCAAATCCCCGATTTCGTCGTTGCCACTGTCAAAACGAAACCAGACCCAAAGAACCAGGGCAGCGTGCTCAGTATGGGTTTCGGTTTCGCCGAATTCAAATCCAAGGATGCTGCTGATAAGGCCATTGCTACTCTCGATGGCTACAACTTGGAAGGCCACAAGATCCAGTTGAAGTTGTCTCACCGCAAGTCCGGCGCCAAAGACACCACCGCCAAGTCGAAGAAATCCAGCAAAATCATCATCAAGAACTTGCCGTTCGAGGCTGCCAGAAGAGACGTTTTGGAGCTTTTTGGCGCTTATGGCCAGATCAAATCCGTCAGAGTGCCCAAGAAGTTCGACAAGAGCGCCAGAGGTTTCGCTTTTGTGGAGTATACGTTGTTGAAGGAGGCAGAAAACGCCATGGACCAATTGCAGGGTGTCCATTTGCTTGGAAGACGTTTGGTGATGCAGTATGCTGAACAGGATAGTGAAGATGCCGAGGAAGAGATTGAGAAGATGACCAACAAGATGAGAAAGCAGGCTGCCTCCAGGGAGGTTGCTGCTTTGAAGATGACTGGTAAGGGCAAGGTCTCGCTTGAAGACGACGAAGAGGACCCTTTCAAGGAGTTTTAGGTTATAGATAATGGGACAAACTACGAGTTTCTACATTGTACTTCTTAAACCTTCATAGATGGAGTCCATGCCGGGACACTAATTACAAGCATAGAGCGCTGTGGCGCCTTCGCAGACCTAGTTCTGCTTCAAGTACGAGGTGACGTCCTTCAACAAATCTCTGTAAGACTGCTCCTCTCTGACCTCGGCGTAGCCAAAGATAAAGTCGGCCAACGAGGAGTCAATGCCCTTGGTGTCCAAGTACTTCTCCACGGAGGCTTGCAAGGACTCGTCCAAGTTGGAGAAACGTGGGCCCTGGTACTCAAAGTTGCCCAAAAAGACACCCTTGTCCTCGACCTGCTTCAAGAAAGAGGCAACGTCGGGCTTGTAGTTGAAGTAGTCAACAAAGAACTCCTCCTCGGAGCTCTGCAACATCAAGTTGAAGAACAAACCGTTGTTCTTGGCCTCGTTGGAAACCAACACCTTCACGTTGGCAAAGGTGGAGTCGTACTGGTAGAGCTCATCGTCGAGCTGCTCCTCGGTAGCTCCATCCTCCTCCTCAGGGACCTCTGGAGAACCGAAAGAAACATCGGTAACCTCGTCAATGTCGAAGAAAACAGTGAGTTTCTCGCCGGACTCCAAAGTCTTCAGGAGCTGCACATTGGACTCGCCCGGTTTCTGGATAACCTCGAATCCTGACTCCTTCAAAAACTGCACGTGGTCTGGAGCCAACTCGTTCTCGATGGAGCTGGCAATTTTGTACTCAGACTTCACCACATCGAGCAAAGCGGCGGTGGATTGGTTACCACGGACGATGGAAGATGAAAAAGAACGAGCAGGACCGGCCAAAATAGGCAATCTTCTGGCCATGTGTGGGGCAGCAACTCTGGTTGCCTGGGCAACGGTACGGAGGGAAGCGAAGGCTCTAGACATGATGATTGTTTGTTTGAAGGAACCTGGTGGAAGGAGGAGAAGTTTAATGGTGCGATGATGTAGGGCCGTGGGCTGGGTGCAGGACATACACACATTTGCAACCATGCCAACGACAAAAGCTTGATAGTGGTGATTAGTGGCGGAGATGTAAATGTAATTTGAAGGTATGTGAAAATGATAGCGAGTGACAAAGCTGAAGCTTGGAAAATAAAAATGTAGCGAATGGACGGCCAATGGCCATGGTGATGCTCGTGGAGTGAATGTGGCGTGGGGGAGTCTGCCGAATCCTCAGGATCGGAGAGGGCAACCCTTTAAAAGGGGGAAAATTATGCAAATCACTCATCCTTGGGAGAGCGCATGGCCCGCAAGAACTCTTGCACGAACAACAGGGAGCGTCTGTAGCGTCTTTCCTGGTATTTTTCGAAAATGGCCTTATGGTGGGTCTCCGCGCTGGAGCACATCTCCATCATGATGCGTGCAAGGGGCTTGAGCTGTTCTTCGGTGTAGCCCGAGTAGAAAACGTGGGCATCGGTCCAAGTGCCCTTGTTGAGCATCTTACGCAGAAGATAGTGGGCGCCTGCTGCAAGCCATGAAGGCTGCGAGGCGACAAAACGGTGGTCCATGATTGTGATTTCCAAGAAGTACTTGGCGAGTGTACGGGTCTCGTAGTCGTAGTCGTCGGCCTTGGAGGTTCTTCTCAAGAACGACATGGGGCCTGGCCAGCCCATATCGAACTCGAGCACGTCAATCATGAACCGCTCGGCCTTGAGGAAGTCCTCGATGCTGTAGGCATTGTCAGCCATGTAGGCGACCTCTTGCACGGTGGGGCAGTTGATCTCCTCGTATTTGGCGGCAATGAAGAGGGCAACAGCGCCCACAAGCTGGAAACGCAGCAAGGACACTCTGCGGCGACTGAGGAAACGGTCGATGTAGTTGACGGTGAGAAATAGCGTCTCGGGAAGCAAATTGAAGCGCTGGTGCACCTGCACCACCCAGTCTATGAGGACGCCACGCATCTCCCAGCGCAATTCGTCCTGGTTGGCCATGTAGTTGGCGTCGGCAGCATACATGTGCTCGAGCTCATGCAAATAGTTGAAGATTTCAGGCGCGTACTCGGCCACCATGGTCACGTCGTACGTGTCTTCGTCCAGCTCGTCGAGCGTGGCACGCGAGTACGTCCGCATCACCGCCTGTAGCTTCAGAAAGATCTGTTTGTTCCACTTGGGCTCCTGAGGGCCCTCGTAGTCGGTGGAATCGCTATCGTCGTCGTAGAGTTCGTTTGCGCCGGGCTCGCCGTCGGAGTCCTCCTCAATCTCGGCAAAGTGTGACCGCTGGACCTCGTTGTAGCTCTGTGTTTCCAGCTCTGGACTCGCCGATCTGGACGTGGACAACGACATTCCTTGCAACGCGGCCGCCAGCTCCAGACCCGTGGCCGTGTGGGCGTCTGAGCGGATCGGATCAAAGTGCTGGCGTATTAGGCCGTCGTCCGAGCTAGGGGCGTACGCTGGTTCTAGAGATCCCAGTTTTCGTGATTCCTTGGGCACCCTGATCTCTGGTTTAGCGCCCCTGGTAGCCAAATTCACGGGTAGCTGGCCCAAGGGTTTCCTCGATGTGAGGCGCTTGGGAGCTTCAGGCATGGCTGTTCTGTTCTGGAAAGGGGGTTGATGGAGGAAGGTGTTCTTGGTTGTGGAAACCTGAATATGCTAGAAACAGAACGGGGAAGGCGAATTTCACGGAGATTTCGCGATGCTGGGGTAAATGGGTTGTGTAGAGACGATTGAAACGCTCCAAATGGCGGGTTTGGGGGGTTTGACCAGAAAGAACGTAGGACCTTGTGGTTGAGCAGCTCACACAAAACAAACAACAGGCTCCTGGGGCTTTGGATTGTGTGCAGTATACCCGACATCGAGGGAATGTTTTTACAAAATGGAGGGGTTGGCGGGTGAAATTTATATGGATCGGAAGCTGGAAATGTGGAGAACACGATGAAAAGGGTTATTTTGTTATAGGAGGTGTGTGTCGCCCGCAATGGGTGTGTAGCACCGTAGTGTTTGTTTGTTTTTCTTCGCGTCCAGTGCAGCGCCTAACAGATGAGGGTACCAGGCGGGAGGTTTGCTACCATTTGCAACGCCAAAGTGGGGCTTTGAGGGATGGGGTTTTTTAGAGTTTTGGAGAAAGTTTTTTTCAAAAAGATGGATTTTTCGATTTGAAACAAAAACGCTTTTTTCCATTGTTTCAAAGGTTGAGGCAGAAGCCGGGATTGGCTGCGAAAAGCAGGGCTGAAAAGTGGCTGAAGGTGAGACAGAGGCTGAATCTGATTTGTTTCAGAAATGAGAGGGAGGATGCTTTTTTAAGATTTGGGGTATTTATTGGTGATTTTTGGATGTTTTGGGATGTAGTAGAAAATATGTTGTTTTGGCGAGGAATTTGATGAATTTTGGGTTTCACTGTTTGAGATTACGGTGGTGGACCATTTGGAGTATAGGTGAGATATGGAAGTATGGAATTACGAAAATGTAGAGTTACAGGATCAAAACGGTGAATATTTTCAAAAAGCAATGCTAGATTAATGGAAATGTCGTTTAGACATTCGGTTTAATACTTCAATTTCAGAATAAGTCAACATTCATGACATAGGTACGACACGATCTACAACGCTAGTAACACATAGCAACCGTTGCTCCATTGTTTGGATTTGACAGAGTCAACAATTAAAACAGTCAAGAACTAAAATATGGAATATCAAAGCTCTCACCTTCTTATCTCAAAAAGTAACTCCCTAGCCAATAGGTTCCCTACACTTGAACCTTCCATATCGTATATTCCCGTTAATACATTTTCACATTGACACCATTCATATAACGCAACGTGGCATTGGCCTCCTTCTTTGCAGGGTACGGACTGCCGTCGCCTTCCAATGTCTCGAACATCTGAGCCAATCTGACAAGCACATACAGAGCTTCCGTAAGAGCAAACTGCTGACCAAGGCAGATTCTTGGACCGCTTCCAAACGGCATGAAGGCCCAGCCAATGCGTTGGAGATCGGCCCACCGCTCGGGTCTGAAGACGTCGGCATCTTCTCCGTAGTGCTTCTTCAGACGCTGAACACAGTAGATCAGGAAAATGACCCTCGAGCCCTTGGGCACGAATATTGGTGCGTTGCCGTCTTTACCACCGCCACTGGGTAACGTTGTATCCTTCAAGGCCTCTCGAAGATTCAGCGAAACAGGGGGATACACACGAAGCGTCTCGTTGACCACCCATTTGAGGTAGTTGCACTTTTTGAGGGACTCAAAGGTGATGCTATCGAGCTCCTCGGGACATTCTCCTGTTCCAAATTGCATGAGCACCTCTTCCCTGAGCTTCTTCCACACTTCTGGGTTTCTGGAAAGCTCCGACATGGCCGTCAGGAGAAGCGATGCTGTGGTGGAACGACCGGCAAGCATGATGTTCAAAAGCTGGTCTCTGATATCCACGGGGTTTCGGGTGTCCTTGACCAATTCATACAAAAACGTGTATCCCTGTCTGGACCTGGCCTCGATTTCCTCGGGCTTAAGCTCCAACGCTCTGTTGACAAAGTTGTCGGTGTAGCTGTGGATGTCTCTGACACTCTGGCGGAACTTCTTGTTGTTTGCAATCCAATAGAAATCAAAGAGAGCCAGTCGCTTGATCAAATACGACTGGACAAACGTCAAGGCGGAATTGAACTCGTCCCTTCCCTCGATGTAGTTTTCCTGCGGATCAAAGCCGATGGTCTCGTCTCTCAAGTCATTGACACTCTCACCAAAGAGAAACTGGGTTCCAGCGTCCAAGGTGAACCGGTGGAACAACAGCTGAATATCGAAGTAGCCCTTGTTTGCGTGGATGTGTCTGGCTAGCATCTGGACGTGCGGCTCGAGCATCTTGACGTGGGAAATCTGCTCCCTGACGAATTGTGGTTTCAACAACGTCCTGGAGTGTTTCCAGTGCTGACCTTCCGATGCAAAGATTCCGTTTCCCAAAAGCGGGCCAAACGCCTGTTTTCTCACGCCGATGCTGAAATCGGAAAACTGCGTCAGGAGCATGGCCTTCATGTTCTCCGGGTTCATGGTGATCATCAACGTGCCTGAGCTGGCGGGAATGGAAAGCGACAAAGTGTCCGAGTTGGACTTTTCAAAACGAGAAAACATCCGTTCCAAGAGGAAGCCCAGGGCGGTATCCTTGCGGTGGCTGAAAATCTCGGGCACCGTTTGCAAAAACAGCTTGTGGTTTTTGACGGGTTCAGTGTTCCATTTTTTGGCGAGTTGGCGGTGTCTGAAGTACTGCAAAGTCCATTTTGCAACCACCAAAAGAAGCACCACCACGAGGATCCGGTCCAGCCGCATCCACGCCGAGGAGTCGAGTAGCGCCATTTCAAAAAGTTGATTTATTTGTTCAAAATTGATTTATTGGATTTGGACGGGATCGTCTCTATTTATGTACTCTCCAACTCCGAGCCCTGTGATTTTGCCTTCCCCACATTGGCAGTGCAGGACCCGGAACGGTTGCAAATCCACCGATGGGGTTCTATCTCCGGGGGCTATAGTATAGGTGGAATTTAATTTTATTAATTGTTGATTTTGTTTTTAGTGATTTTTTGATATTCATTGTTGGTATGTGTGTTTTGGTGAAGTTTGACCGTGTGGTTCACAATATCTGTGGGTTGATAGGGTGCATCTCGGAGTACGCATGTTCCATCACCGGACCTACATGAAGAGAAGCTAAGAGTTAAAAAAAGACGTACAATCCGGAGATACCCAGTCGATGCACATGAAAGGTGAAGCTTAACCAATTTCTTCAAATTCAAAAAATTCAGTATATCTGGAAAGGGGGATGCACCGCTCATAACTGATGCACCCTAATGTATGTGTCACTGTGCGTCGCCAAAGTGGATCTCCAATTGACATACTAAGCTTGAACATCCAAGTCTATAATTTCAAAAAAAGAAGCTCAATTCACATAGTTAAGGCTCTGGTCGGCGTCTCGGGCGCTTTGGTGCCGATGCAGCGTGCATTCAACAAAGATACCGGTGGCTCAGGTGCGTCTATGGTATAGCCTTGGCCTCACTGGTGAATGTAAGCGGGGCGCCGCTTTTCATGTCAATGTGAAAGTGGGAGATAAGGAGGGGATAAGTGAATTTTGAGATTTCAGTGCCTGGATTGCCTGGATTGCCTGGATTATCAATATTTTCAAAAAATGTGCTTTGTTTCGCCGTTTCATGGAGTACTTGCTCACCCTGGTGACCGGATTTATCGTGCCAAGCCGTCTCAGCCTCGAGATTGAGGGAAGGTGGATTGGCCAGTTGTGGAGAGGCAATTGCGCAATTGATGACCGGACATTATTTTCACAGTCACTTGGTGAAGCTCATTGGAAGGCGCCATTTTGGAAAGAAGAGAAATTGGATAGGCTTTGATTCAGGCAAGTAGGGTAGCTTGATTTGTGTTGCTTCCTTTTGCATAGTTCTTTGCAAACGACTCAATGCAGTGGGAGGTGGTTGACGAGATTCACATCTTCCTGGCTTTCTCAGTATCATTGACTTCCAGCTAATTGGGGTACCTCAATTGGACAGTGCATCTTGTGAGGTTAGCGTCAGTAGAACCCGAGCAAGGTGAAAAACTGACTATCTCCCTCAAATGCCTAGATAATAATAGTCCAGCCAATTTTCTTCAATTCTAATGTTCTAAAAGTTCACAACTCTGAAAATCGAGATTTACGTCAATCTGAGAACATCAGAAAACTGAGAACGTCTGTACCTTTATCTCCCCATGACTCTGTTAGGATGCGCGTTTGCATTCATAGTATATACGTAGAACAGACTAGGTAAAACTTCCTTGATAATTCAGCTAGAAAAGGGTCAGCTATTTATATTTCGAGGTTTGGCCGAAATACGGTGCTGGCTCGATCGTTTATGGATAGAGCCAGCACCGATCGAGCCAGCACTCTATTTGCCGAACTTCGGAACACTCTGTGATCCGTTCACCGTGTCCCTAACAGACTCGCACTGGTTGCAAAAAGTGCACCAACTGCATCACCACATACCCTCCACCCGATCAAATATCCACAAAAATATCCACAACCAAAACCCCAATCAAATCACACATTCACCTTTCCCACAAATCTCCCAAAATCAACAAATTTCTCCCTCTCCACAAAATCCCCCCACCCACCTGCCTGGGGTGACTCAGAGTCACCGCGATTTCCATCACCACTTCTTCACTACCACTCTTCTTTCATGATCTTCGTCCACGGCGCCGTTGTAGATTCCTTCACTCGATGCACCCACTACCATAGTGACGTTGACATTATTGCCATCAAGTTCAAGTGCTGTGGGCTCTATTATCCGTGTTTCCAGTGCCATGACGAGGTGAGACAGCATGAGACCAAGAGATGGAGGAAAGAGGAGTTGAAGGAGGAGCTGGTGGTTTTGTGTGGGAACTGCAAGAAGGAGTTGACTTTTGGAGAGTATAACGATGGGGCAAGCCGGTGTGCGTTCTGTCAGGCCAGGTTCAATCCCAAGTGTGCGTTGCATTACGATTTGTACTTTGATTTGGGGTGAGCCAGATGGCGTGAGCCAGATGGCGTGAGGCAGGTGGCCTTTTTGGGAGATTGGGGATGTTTTTGGTTATACTGAGAGAGAAAGAGAATTTCAAAAGCAATGGATTCTTGGGATTGTGTGTTGTGATTTGAGAGATTTAAGATGAATGGGTTGACTAGGTGGATACTGGAATCTGGGGTTCAACCGAGAATACTGATATCTCACCAAATTTCGAGATTTAAAGCCATTGAGAGAATGAAAGCAGTTAAGAGGAAGACATTAACAGATACGGCCCTTCACATAGTCCTCATTGACTTCATTTCGGTCAATGCTAGGAAGTCGACTTTGGCAATCGGCATGTCTCGGATACCAAAGAGTAAACTCACATTGAGCCCACACTTCATTGACACTTTCTTCATTTTGGGAAAATAGACTCAAATCCTGGGTATGCTCGTCTTTCAACACCCGATTGTGTCTATTCTTCCGCTATGACGTGAGCAGAGGTGCTTCGCTTGGCAGAGCCGTCATACACCGGTCTAAGAATTTGATAAAAACACGGCAGGATTAGCCCAGACGAGGGTGTTTATGATTTCATTACTTGTCGTTTTCATATGAGTTTGACTGTCTGCTCTATTTCCTTCAAGCTATGGTTCTCGTGATGTGTATGGAAAGCATGAAGTGAGATGGAGTACCTTGGTTTGGAAGGAAGCATTGGAAGCAGATATATTCACGCGTTGGCTTTCGATGTTTAAACGAGCTGATTTTGAAAAGAGCTGTCTGAAAAGAGCATGATCATGGAGAGTGATAGAGAATCAGCCTACTACTGTCTGGATTGGTGACACCTTCAATGAGTATCGCCAGTTGACCCCGTTAACATCTCGGCAGTTCATCAGGTACTATTGAAATGGTCCTAATTATGCTTCTTGAAGTCTCCACGAAGCAGGATACGCCCCATTGCCTTTGAAGTTGTATCCATCATCCATCATCAAGCACACTCCATCGTCCACTTTCACCATTAACAGCCCAACGAAATACCATGTCTTTTCCAGTCCTTCTCCACCAATGCAAATCATAAATCCACTTGAAAGCACTGTCCTTCAGTTCGTGACAACCACACAATCTACTGACCCCACTAACCAACCGTCCTACCTCATCCACCTCAAACTGAAGCCCCACTCATACCAGGTCATAGCCTCTCGATCCCCACAATCCAACAATTCCATCAACCTCCACCAATTCCATCAACCTCACCAATTCCATCAAAATCATCAACCTCACCAATTCCCCCATTTTCATCCCCCACTACATCACCAACCCCCACGGCTGCAAATCACCTCCTCCAAACCCTCCCCCAAATCCTCCAAAGGGTCCCCCACCCGGCCTCGTCAAAGTGTCCGTTTCGGCGCCGCCCACGAAAACCACCTCCGTCTCCGCCGCCTCAGCCTCCCGTTTTCTTGTCCACTCGTCCCAGTATCGCCTTTGCTGCGGCTACTTCGGTTCCTTTGCAGCCAAGCTGTGCCTCTTAGGCCGCATACCCAGATGGCTCGATAGCCGAATTGCAGCGATTTTCGGTTTCCGCTTGAGATTGAACTCAATTGAAAACACAAAGAAGAGAAAAGAACATTACTGGCTAAATCGTCAATTGAGGTCTACAAAGTCTACAAAGACGGTCTGTGTCCTGACGAGGCTGCGGTTCTGAGCCTCATCTTGCCGGATCTCATCGCAGACTGGAGCGACGACATTTCAATTAATTCTCAAAATCAAAATCTTAAACTCCAATAATTTATCACCAAACGGCCCCATCCCACGGATTTCTTTTTCCGAACATGGCCACAAAGCGTGGTGTCTGGTTCTGTCACGAAATAGGCAGTGCGGATTCGCAACCTATACTACCTACTGCCACTCAGCCTCCAATCACGATAAGCGGGTTATAAGCTGATATAAGGACGCCGATTTGCCCATAAAGTTGAAATAGCGTACTTCGCCGGAATTGAAATTACCCCCAACGCGGAATATCGAACCTGCCCTTTTCTCCAGTCCACGACTACCAGGTCATCCAGAATCACCAATCGCCACTCCACACCTGTCAATCCAACAAGCCAATACAAAATGTCCAAAACCTCCGTCATCGTGTCCAATTTGACCAAACAGGACTTTGTCTCTCAAAACTCCAAACTCGCTGTGAGTGACCAGATCAAGTTGGCGGTGCTCAACCTCCACAACGACGAGTTTCCCGACCTTTTGCCTCTCATCACCCACTGGCTGAACCTCCCGTTCTTGAACAGAATCGTCATCATCTTGCAGAGCGAGGAGGCGGCGTCGTTTGTCCACGACTTCTTGCAAAAAGCCGTTTCGGGCGAAAACGACCTCAAGTTGCCCTCCACAGCGAAGCTCCTGCTCCAGGAGAACCTCTTGCAGACCTCCAAGCTGTCCGACAACTTGCAAGACGCCAAGGATCTTGACGTAACCCACTCCTTGGAGAGATTCAGATCGGCCCATGCCTCTGGCGACTACAAGGAGCCCGAGCCCCAGAAATCGCCCAAAGCGTCGCCCAACTACGAGGCCTTGGACCTCAAGAAATTGGGCATTGAGCTGGGCGACGTGCCTCCCACGCCGCCATTGGAGCGCTCGAGATCGGTCACGAGAACGCTTTTCAAGCCGTCCTTGAAGCTCAATACGTCGGGCACGGCGCCGAACGACGCTCCTGCCTCGCCAACGATTACCCTCGACGAGAGCTGAGCGTCAAAGTATGAGATTGTGTCCGGAAGGGGAGCTTCAGCTGTCGAATTGAAGGCCAGTCGTCAATTGAAGTTCATTCGGTGCAAAGCTATTCGAGCCAGGGCGAACATTGCAGCTGAACCAGCGAAACGAGGTCCACAGTGATTCATTCAATTTGGAAGTACTGCTTCTGAGTGTTTTGAATGGTCGCTCTAGAGGCTCGACGTTCCCTGGGGTCTGACCTGCCAGTAGATGCGAGGTCATTGATCAATTGAAAGCGACTCAATTGCCGTCAAAACACTAATGGACGAAAAGCCGCCACGACTTGACAGCATCAACCCATCAACTCACCAATCATTCACTGCTGAGTGCTAGCTCCTCAGGTTGACTCCACCCTCGGAAAAGCCGAGAGATTTCCGCTGATTGCGCTTCCCCAACCGTCAATCATCTCCATCTAGTCGATCCTCTCTCCTCTTAATCTGCGATCGTCAAACCCTCACGTCTTCCAAAGCTTCCATAGGGAACTCGCTCAAAACCATTTCCACGGCTACATAAACGGCCCACCGCAAATAGCAAAATCCAGCCATTCAAACTGCCCAGTCTACGCCTCCATTCTTTAAAGAAGACCGCTTCTCTTTGACGAATAGGAATAGCAGCTAAGCCCGGAAAAACCACCGATTTCGGCGTCCTGAGCGGTTTTGCAACCGAGTGCACGTGATCCCCACCCGACATATATTCCAGAACCTTGCGCCCCCAATCTTTCACCTCTCCATCTTCTACAATGGCTGTGAAAGGACTCGGTGAAGTTGACCAAAAGTACGACGGCTCCAAATTGAGAGTCGGTATTCTCCACGCTCGTTGGAACGCCAAGATCATCTCGGCGTTGGTCGAGGGTGCTATCCAGAGACTCAAGTCGTTTGGACTTCTGGAGGAGAACATCATCGTGGAGAGCATTCCCGGCTCTTTCGAGTTGCCTTACGGTACCAAGCTCTTTGTTGACAAGCAGAAGAAGCTCGGCAAGCCATTGGACGCTGTGATCCCCATTGGTGTCTTGATCAAGGGCTCCACCATGCACTTTGAGTACATCTGTGACTCTGTTACCCACCAGTTGATGAAGCTCAACTTCGAGTTGAACCTTCCTGTGATTTTTGGTGTTTTGACGTGTCTCACTGACGAGCAGGCCGAGGCCAGAGCTGGTCTTATTGAGGGTAAGATGCACAATCACGGCGAGGACTGGGGTGCTGCTGCTGTCGAGATGGCCTTGAAGTTCCAGGTCTAGGTGGATTGTCTAAGAAGCAGGTCTACGAACCAGGTCTAGTTAAAATAAAAGCATGAAGAAGAGATCTGTAGAGTGGAGGTGTTGAAGGGAGTGGGGCTGAATTCGGTAATTCCAGACTACCAGGTCTGTGAGACTGAAAACTGTATTCCAATGTCTTTAATTTTTGAACTAATTGTACATCGTTTAATACTGAGGTGACAGATGACAGTGGTGGTCAATTGACCATAGATGGTAGGAATATCTTAGCATGAGCTCCATCGACCAATAAAGGTTTCATATGATTAATGGCTCAATTGAGGTTCTTAATACCGTTGACGGAAGAAAAGTACGAAAATTTCAAACCTTTCGAAGGAAATGCTGAAACTTTGATTTCCACTACAAACGATACTCTCTGGTGATGCTCGTGTGCAATGAGTGATACCTGCTTGTTCATTGAAATACTCCATAATCAACTTCTTATTACCTTTCAGCAAGTAAGCTACAAGCCTAACCACAAGTAAATCAACCAAAATCATCAAATGCTTTTTGAAGCTCTCGAAAGCTACATTACCTCAATGATGTATTTGACCAATAGTACCACCAGCAACCTGTAGAGCCTCTTCATCGAGATTTGAACAAAAATATTTTAAAACCTTCAATTGCCTTTTCTCTTCAGTTCCCAATTTAAAATAAAATCTTCACTTTCTCTATTTTATAAGTTCAATTTCATGGGTTCCACTTCATGGGTTCCACTTCCTCAGTACCATCCACCTAAGCCCCGCGGGATGTCACCAGACTAATTTTTCACCAGGGTCCGACGACCACCGTCAATCCCACAAAACAAGGAAGTTTCACAAAAAAAAGATAATAAAATGCCAAACCCTGCCTTTTCTGTCACCTCAATCAGCCCAATCCAAAAAATCTTCAAATCCAAAATTTTTTAAAAACCTCCTCCACCACCTCCCGCCTTGCTCTTGCCGGTTTCGCAGCCGTACGAACCCGCCCAAGAGGACCCTGCCAAAAACACAAAAACCGCCAAAAAATC